TATAAATTATAAAACAAGCCACACGTGCTCGAATATTTTCTATTTTACTTGCTTGTTATTACATATTTGTTCGATATAGACAAAAGAATGTCTCAATCCTATGATATTGAGTGAAAATAAATAATTATCTCCGAAAGACAACAATAGTTCCTAAAACAAAAGATTATTTTATTCTATAAGGATATATTTACAAGTGGCCTTGAGATCCCTGCAGGTATGGGTGTGGGTATCAGAGTACATCCATAAATACGCTGGCACGTACGCGCAGACCCGCACCTGCATCCCTATGAATGCATTATCTCTTCGAAACTCTCTTCATATGATGCTTTATAAAGAAAAAAGAGTTCAATAGAGGGGCAGCGGAACGTTTCAAAACCAGGTGAGGCTCAATGGGTGTCTTTTGTTATCTTGAGCAAACCTACATATTACGTTGACATATAGCTGAACAAAGTTCAAATGCTAAACTATTTTAAACTGTTTAGTTCTATTGTGGTCATGAAAGTTACTGTACTATTTTGCTACTCTTTAATAGAATAACATTTCAATCTTTAGAAAGCTACAAAAGTTCCAAAAACTATAAGAATCATTTATTTCATACACAAATTAGATTATCAATTCAGAAAAAAAACTTATCATTTTTTATTCTCGATGATACGAACATTGACAGTATTTGAGCTGAATCAATTTGATAAAATTGTTTATTATAAATATGTGGCAGCCAATAATGACAAAGTCGCGGTTGGTTTATAGAAACTCACAGCATATTTTTCAATCTATTTAGTCGTATTAAATGCCTATCAGACAGTCACTATGAAGAATGACGATGAAAATATCTGATCGTTTGCTTTGGTTCGTAAAATATTCAAGAGCCAATCGAACTGATTGTTTCGATGAAATTTGATGATTATAACGTAAAATAAGGACGCTGATATTTTACTCGACATAAAATATTTTGAATATGACTAATGTGCAGATCTGCAGGAGAGAATTTTTTGCTCCGAATCTCGTGTGTTCTGTCCCGTGATGTTTCAAAATGTCCCGTCTCAATTTTTTTCCGAATTGTCCCGTAGAATTCCGTCAGTTCCGTTGACCGAAAGGAATACAAAACATTCTCCTGTCAGAGAATAATACGTCTTTTCTATACCACCAATAGACAACTTAAATTCACATAGATAGTTATTGGACGAATCACTTAGCTATCTTTTAGTTTATATGATTGGCAGCAAAATACCGGCCGAGGAACATGTCTGGGTGCAGATGAAATTAATAATTTGTTACTTATCAAATGAAATATTGCTACATTGATGAAAATTTACTTGTCTGTAGTCGAAGTGTAATAAGAAAAGGGATTAATTTGGGATAAAACTTCAGTTTAAGTACTCTCTTGTTCTCATGCTTACACTGATTTCTGTGCAGGATACGCTAATTAAATGAGACGATATGGCTAAATCATAGTAGCAGTGAAACAATTGATAAAAAATAAATAATAAAGAACAGATTTGAAGACATCTGACAACAGGTTTTTCTGTTATGCTATTTATTTAAATATTTCAATATTTGTTAGAAATAAAAGCGTCTCAAACTTACGACTCCTTCTGATATGTGAATTTAGAACATTCGGGACATCGGTTGTTTCTGAAGAGTTCCGAATCACGTTTCCCGCAAGGGACGGAACAAACGTGATTTTTCAGGATTTGGGACTGTCCCGCAGATCTCTAGATGAATGCTATCGTAATCTTCTACCGTTCGAATAGATTCATGATGTCAAATGGGTTCATAAAATGAGAGAGAGAAATTCAGATGATTGTAGAAATCAATTTTTAAAAAGACTGGATTTAGTTATTAGGGGTGTATTATTAGTTAATAAAATGTAGAGAATGACAGTGTCACGAAAGAAAAAACAAATGCTCGGATATGAATGTTTTGTATTTGAAGTACACCATTTTATGATTGATTTATTTTACATACTACTTCGTGTTAATAAAATAAAAGATGTTACAAAAAAACCGTGACCGCATTGATAATGAACTTTATTGTCACCTCAATTTTTCAGTTTTCGTGATTTCAATAGATAGATAAACATGAAAAAAAGTTTCAATTGCCTGCACTGAAATAAGTTTCACCTCTGCAAACAACGCCAGGTTCGAATGTGAGTAAACCTTACGGCAGTAATTCAAGTGAGGTTCAAGCCTTCAAAACCTATATGTTCCACCGCCTATGCCCACACCCACACCCACCCAAAATTCTTTTCAGAAGTGGATGATCGAACCAGTTCTGTTCTGCAGTCACACACTATCACACGTCTTGGCGTGTATAATATATCTTATATTAAAAAAACCCTAAATTAGAGTCCCCACTTAGTCACCAAAACTGATGTTAATTGCTTTAAAGTTCACAAATGTGGACATGATTTAGGGATTGATTCAGATAACCACGATTTGTGGGAAATGATAACCTACCGTCCACATCTAGCACAGAATGACAAGAATACTTTAAGAATGGGTATAGAATTTTAAAGTGTCTTAAAAATGGCTACACACTAAATACAAAGTATGGCTACTAAGATGATATTTGATCATTAATAATATCTACCATTAATATATGCGACAAGGACATTTTAAACACAATTCAAATTGAAATTGCCTTATACCGGGTACGACAAAAGTTTTGAGACATTTGGTGTTTTTCATATATCTCAGTTCATACAAAAGATAAAATCTTGAATTTAATTTTGAAAGATGTGCTATTCAATTGTCTACAAAAGTGTATTTATCTTAATTTAAAATAATAGCACTGAGAGTTTTTATGGATCAAATAGTGTGCTTATATGAATTGTTTCTATACTCCACACGTTTTTCTAATGAATTATTTTTTCTGTAAGAAGGAATATTTTGCTTTTAGAAATAACGGACTGTCAGATAGCTCTTGAAAACTCCGGTCGATTGCTCATATATTTAATAAACATTCTTTCCATTAGATAGAATTTTTCGCGAAGTAGTATTTTAAAAATCGCAAATTCTCTCTGTCTATTACTCCTTTCTAGAAAAAACTCTTAAGAATGTGATATGTGGCCAAACTGAATTCACTTTTTAAGTATTTTGAAGAAAAAACACATCTCTTTCTACTGAAAGCTCAAAAAATATTTGACAGAACGATTCAATTGGAAGAAAAATCTGAATATCACCAAGAATACTGTTTGTACAGCAACATACCAAACATACCACTTTTATTAGGCCCAAACGAATTGTAGTCAAATAAAGGCAAATTACTCTGGAACAGCATTGATATCTGATCGTATTGCTAATAATTAGTTTCTTAAGCACCTGCTTATAACAGGAGAAACTCAGAAAAAGTATAGTAGAAAAACGTATAGGATATACAAGCAATTCATGTAAGCACATTATTTGACCTATAAAAACTTTCAGTTCTATTATTTTAAATTAAAGTAAATACACTTGTGCAGAGAATTAAATAGCACATCTTCCAAAATTAAATTCAAGATTTTACCTTTTATCTTAACTAAGCTACATGAAAAACACCAAATGTCGCAAAACTTTTGCCACACTCGGCAATCCAATTCTCCACATCGATTATTATCACACGACGATCGAAATGATTCGCTATTAAAAAGTTTGACTGCACAGATCTAAGACAATAAAGGATCAATCAAACAATAAAATTAAATTAATGTAAGGAAACCATCAACTTACTCGTCGAATGAACCCAAAGTAGTGGTATATAAACAATTGTTCATCATTTAACAAATTTGTCAACGAAGCCAAAACAATTTTTGGATGGGAGATCTCTAATTTCAAATCTATTATATTAAAAACTGCTCCGCCTTCCTTAATGAGAACTGAAACCCTTTCTGTTTTCTTTTCTTTTTTTTCCCTTTGCCTCCCTTTCTAATCAATTCTTCGAAAATTCAGGTTTTATACTTACGAGGGAAGACCACCAACTGTTCAATCGCTTTTGCGTTGAAACTGTTTGCGTTATGTAGTTCCCAAAGAGTTATGAATACGCTGAAAATATTTTGAACGGATAGCTTATTGTAACGAAAATAGTCCATTTGTAAGGTATGAGTTTTATTGAGTGCCTGGGGTCCCCCTCANTCGCTTTTTCCCCCTTGCCTAAGTAGCAACAACAGCTACATCGTATTTGACGTTTTAATTCCGCAGGGATTGCGCTAACAGCTTTTAATTTTATTTTCATGCTCAATGATCCGCAATAAATGATGCATGTTTCTAAGGATTACTAGTGATTACTGGTGATTACTCGTGATTACAAGTTGATTACTAGTATTAGTAATCAGTTTGTTTCTCCTTGAAAAAACTATAGTACGGAACCATAGGGATTACTAGAAAACTATGAAGGTTTCGTATTTTCTTACGACACCTTTTTTTCGCTGTACGGAACTTAAAATAGGTTTCGTAGGAGATGGTTCAGACGGTGTACCCGTGGACAGATCCTTTTAAGGTTTCCTAGATTTTAACAACCATTTTGTTAAGCATTTGGACACATTTGGAAGCTTTTAGACACCTACGAAACCTTTTTGGAGGGTTTGGTAAGTTACCTTTTTTTACTGTGTAATGATGATATCTTTTGATCGTTCTAATTCTCTTATGAATTAATCAAATGGAGCCGCCGTAAACCGTAATGAAATCAATTTAGAAAAATATTAATATACGCATAATCTCCTGTGCGTAATTCAAACTGTGACAATACTTCGAGCGCAGTCAATTGAATAAACTTCGGTAGCATGTTAAATACGTTATGCAAATACCATTGATTGATGAGAGTTTAAGCTGGTCCGCATTGAGCAGAACTATTATTTTCTGAAAATAACTTTCCCATTCAGTTTAATGAATAAATCTGAACCTAAATAATTGTCACTATTTAAACAATTATTGATGTGTTTCCGATATTCATTTTGAAAAAACCTCCGTCACCTGCAGTTTTAAAAAAAATCAGTCTACAATCTAGAGAGTCATCTTTCTGTATTATTTATCGATTTGAAAAGTACGTTGAATTGTATCATAAATTTGACTATGAGGATGATGTGAACCACATTCTCCATTACAGATCTTAACTGTCACATTATATACACCTGGAAACCATTCTTCACAAGGATCTTATGAAAAAACAATTAATCTTTTCGAACATTCAAATTTAAAGCAATAACTTACTGACAGCAGATTCACAATCTGGATCTGGTGTTGTATCAAGACTAAGACGTTCAGCATATCTGCCTGTTTTTTTTGCTTCGATCAAGTAAAATGAAGAAACTTTTATTCCGTCAATAGTTTGAACATCAACGAGCATTTGGCCTGTACCAGTTCCATTAAAAGTTTGGTAGCTCAAATCAAATACAAATTTAGTGTAAGCTTGTGCATGCGGTGGAGCAATAATAAATGATAAAAACTTCGCATCACCATTATCAAAGACTATAAATGAAGAGTCAAAATTAGTCTTTATTCCTTCTGATCTAATAAGAACAATGATTTCTTTTACCTGGACAAAGTGTTAACTTTTCGCAAAAATAAATTGGATCCAAATCAATATCTGTAGCTATTTTGATAAATTCGTTAATTCCGACGATATCACAACCGACAGAACAAATGATTGATAAGTAAGGGTTTGTTGATTTCTGGGTAACATAATTGCAAAGATCATTACATGTAGTTGCAATACCCAATTCCATAATACCATCAATCACAAAATAGATTAAAGTGTCGAATGTGTCAACACATTCTGGACACCAATCAATACCATTATTGTTTTGTTTTGATAACGGTGTCAAACGTTTAATGAACTTTGATGGAAGATCATCTTTATGTATTTGTGTTGCTGCAGCTCCGAAACCGAACAAAAAAAGCAGACTCACAACCTTGTGCATCTATTTTTTCTATAGATAACATAAAAGAAAATGTATGGTGTGCATCGACAATATATACAACGGCTATGAGAATAGAACACCTGTCTAAAACAGGATTTTGTTTTTTTAAGATAACCTATCGAAAAGTACAACAAAAGAATCAAGGTCCTTATTTTTCTTCATTTTTTGTCAAGCACTTCAGACCATTCAAAATTGAGTATCTTTCTCTTAGAATATCTTGAGGGTGAAGGTGCACAATTCTAATGTATAGGTCATGAGTTGATTTGTAGTGTTTCATTTCTTTATATTGTATGATGAACAAAAGAATTCATTTATTCTTTTAGAGTTCAACAATGTTGGAATCGTTTTGTTTTAGGTGTGGGTGTGGGTGGATATATATGGGTATGAGTATGGGTGCAGGTGGGTGTGAATGTGTGAGAAGAGAAAGGTTGAGGCTGACATTATTATTCGCATCAAGACGCGACTTCCACACTCAAATCTACATCCATCTCCTTATGTGCTTTTCATCCAAATCATAGAAATATAGTTAATGCTTAGGCCAAATTCACAGTTTTGTCCTTTGCCAGCTAGCGATAGTTTTCAATTTTATGCAATAAAAAGTCTCTAAGCCAGTTTCTCGTTTATTCTCAAACTCATTTTCTCTTGTGTCAAAATTGATGTCAAAAGTAATATAGTTATAGAGAAAGAGCCTCTTGTTTTTTTAGTAGGCATCAAAGTTCTGCTGCTTTCTTATTGGTTTAAGGGAACCCTTCTCTCTCAGAAGCGATTTCTCACCTAAGCAAACCATTTGGGCTGAAACTTTCAGAAACAAGTGGTCCTGGTTAGATACACTTGTGATAAAAATTTCAGCTTGATACAACCGAGTAGATCGAACTTGCGGCCTATTTTCATACCTCCGAGGAAAATGAGAACGATTTAGTCGTAGTAAAGGCTAGAGAGCTTTGGGTGGCGTCAAATTAAAGCTAGTCTCTTTGCGCCCCTTTTCATCACACGGATTTTTGAAACTCCTTTCCATTCATTTTTTATGACCATTTTACTGGGCAGGTCTGCAAAAACGCGTGACTCCAGCGATAGTAAATTGCACTTTTCTCAGTCCAGGAGAAATGTATCAAAAATTCGTTTGATGATAAGTTAGTCCTGATTCAGAGCTTAAAAAGAAAAAAAATATATTGAATAAAACCGCAGACTAGGATGGAGTGATTCCAATTTTCCTGCTGAGAAACGAGATTCTGAGAAAAACCTTAAAGAAGTTTTAGAGGTGGTTTTCCTTGGTCAAAGTCGGAAAATTGATATTAAAATGGCATATTTTCAATAAATTTTTTTTTGAAACTATTTTAAGGCTCGTAAAAAAATGCACTAAAACTAACGGCATTTGAGATGCTGGTTAATATTAATTTTTTTTTCACTGATATTTGAAATAGCAACGGGTTTTTTTCCAAAACTGAAAAACTCTAAAAAAAACGAAAATTTCTCGGAAAATATGGTAGGGAAGTTAAAGGCTGATTTGACAAGTCTTTGAAAAACCGATCATTTTCCAAAAATCTATATATATTCTGAAAGAGGAAGGTTTGCGCTATCTTTCTATGGTAAAAACTCAATTTCAATATTGTTTCAAAAAATCGATTTTCTGAGGGGAGCCCTTCAGCATGTTACACGGTCAGATTACTAAATACACAGTTACACATAAGGTGCTATAGATTCATTTAATTCGACATGTTTCTTAAATTACTCATTAATTTGTCTTATTCCTTGTTGCTGTTTGTTATTCTTTCTTTGAGGATGTAGGTGTGGGTGTGAGCATGAGTACAAGTGTGGGTATGGGTGTGCATGTGAATTAAGAAGAGATCAACACCGAGGCACATTCACACCCGCACGTCCACACTCAAATCCTACAGTCAATCGTCGGAATCACTGTTATATCTATCTCAATCATTTCCAATCCTCGTAGCGTCTTGCTGCCAAGTGTAAAATATTGAATAGTTTCTTTGGTAGCTCTCATATTCTCAATAATTTACTTGCTACGATTAAGTTATTGAACAGGCTGTTAGCCTCAGTAGATGTCACTCACTGACGCTAAACCATTGTGTTGTTAGTTATATGGTATTGCGTCATTTGTTCGATGACCAATACAACTTATACTCACGTGATTGACTATCACATATACGTATATATTGTTTTGTTTTTCCACTCTTGTTAAGTGATTTTGTTCAACATCATCGTTCTTGTTGTTATATTCTCTTCAAGAATACATTTTCATCTCTTTTTTTCATCAACATCTTGCTTCACATATATATCAATATAGTTACATTACGATCAATGTATGTAAGCTAAAGATTTCATATATATATGTTATAGTGATCAGCTCTATCATATAGTTCCCATGCGTATTATAGAGCTAACAATTGGTGGAGAAATTGAATTTTAAAATATAATACGAAGAAGTTTTTCTTTCGTAGATAATATAAACATTTACAATTTTTTTTCTCGCTTTTGACTTCAACTCATTATATCCTCTCTCTTTATATATATATCTTTTTTTTCTGTTCTTATATATATACCCTTTCGTTCGTATATATAAACTTTTTCTCGTTTATATCTATTCTTCTACATTAACTAAATACGACTACGTTATTATGCATAAATCTGCATCACTAGACTCGTTAAATTTACGTACAACTTCTACTACGTCAGTTTTAACATCGACAGCAAATCCAGATGTTAAACCTAGTTCCTTTTCTAAACTAACTCGTCGTATGGCAACTATCCCTACACCGAATCGACCAGTTAGATTATTAACATCTGCTAAAATTCGATCTTGTATTAACGAAGATTCGTCAATGCTAACTACTAATGTAGATACAAATAAACATCTTGATTCACGAGACAAAAGTCATGCTTTACTTGGTAGTAAACAGAATTCATCAGAATTATTGAATATAGTTGCCAATCGATCGAATCAAGAAGATCAGAACAAAGATGAGGAAGATGAAGATAGTTTGTTTGATACATTTATTTGTAGTAATTTTGTTCCTTTTTCTGGAACACAACCGATTGATTAATGGTTAGATGAAACCGAAGCTTTATTTAATCGATTCAGAGTTTCACGTAGACTTCGATTTAAAGCTATACCTCTTCTTGTTCAGGGTGAAGCTAAACGTAAATATATAAGATATCGTCGATCTATTATATCTTTTGACAATTTTTATGAATTTTTGTTAACAAATTTTGATGTAACTCCTCCAGTATCTAGTACTTCAAAACCTAGTTATGTTAATCCTATGCCTGAATCTGCCAAAAGTACCGTTTATGTCAATACATCAGTGACTGAACTTAAATCGAACGTTGTTAGTTCAACCGATTTTGGTCAGATATGACAGCCATGCATATGTCGTTCTAATAGGACCGTTGGTAATGACACCACCAACGTAAATGATGATGTGCCAGATAACAAATCATCTGGAAAAATTCGTCTAACGATACATTACCATTAGATTCAGTTATAACTGATTTACGTAAAGCAATTGTAGCAGATTTTATTAAAAATCCGAAGATTTTTCGTGGTTATAAAGATGATGTCACAAAATGGTTAGAAGGAATTGATCATCTAATGCAGATTGCACATGTTCCTGATTCTAATCGGCTAGATTTGATTTCGTACTCTTTAAGAGGAGATGCTCTTCAATGGTTTAGAAATAATAAATCTACATTGACTAGTTGGACTACATTTATTCAGGAAATCAAAAAAGTATTTACATAAACATTTTGTGAAGAGTTAGCTTTTAAAAATCTCGAACCGTATACACAAGGTGAAAATCAGTCAGTTCGTAATTTTTATAATGAAGTTTTAAAGTTGTGTAAACAAGCTGATGCTAGTATGAGCGAATCAACCAAGCTCAAAAATCTTTTGAATAAGGTGAAGCCTAGCATTCAACTTGAAGTACGAAAGAAAAGGCCTAAATCGACTACAGAATTTCTCGAATATGCAAAAGAAGTTGAAGAACTACTACAACTATCTAATGTCAGTGTCGATACAAATTTGAACCATGATTCTAAATCAAAAACTTCTACTAAACTAGTCAATACTTCAACTAATTTCTCATCAGGTCATTTTAGGAATTCTGATAGTAACATAAATGATCCAGTATCGTCTTCTTTCAAATATTATTCATCTTATGTGCCTAAAGCAGATCGATCACAAACTACTAATTCAAATGCTTATTCTCATTCAAATCGATATACGTCATTAACTAATAAAAGTATTAGTAATAGTGATAATCGTAAACAGAAGAGCGCAGTACAGTTAAAAAACACTCCTAAACATGAAAATAAGGCGAATTCTCGTTTAGTTAATGTAGCCTTTCCATCTACTCTATCAGCTCACGATGACAATATTAATAATTCCGTTTCATCAATCGTTTGTCAGATCTGTAATCAATTGGGACATGATACTTCGTCTTGTTCAACTTTTCAGTAACGGAGTCATCGAGAGATGGTGTTGACTCCGGAGAAACATTTATAAATCCATCAAAGTCTCCTCTCATTTTTATATACGCTTTAGTAAACAAACACAAAGTAAAGATTTTAATCGATACCGGAGCAACTAAAACGTTCATTAATAATCGAATCCTACATCATCTAACACCTAGAAATGCTATACTAAAGCGACCACAGTCCTTTTTGTTAGCTGATGGTGTTGCGCTATTTTATGTTCTTGGTTGAGTTAATTTATCTATTGAGTTTGATAATTTCATTACTACAATACAAGTACAGATAGTTCAGTATTTATGTACGGACATGATAATAGGGATGGATTACATTAACAAATATAATATGAATATAAATGTTAAGAAACAGATCGTTACGCTTGAATTGAATAATCAACGAATTACCGTTCCGATTATTAACACGATCAAATCTATTAAAATACCAGTTGTTTCTTCTAATACTGTATTACTTCCTCTTCATTCTATACAAACTACATCAGTAGCTATTCCTATTTCATCTATTTCTTTACCATTTGTTCCACTATCTTCTTCTTTAAAACATTATAAATTTATTCGAGATAAAAATAAAGCTCTTGATTTTCAAAATTGTCATTCTACGATTCTAGTATCAAATAGTAAGAAGAACTTAGAAATTATTAGGAAAGGTGCATGTTTAGGATATCTACTTTGTTCTTCATTGTTGCAGCGTCCTCGCATCTTTTACTCATCTTTATATAAATCACTTGGAGCTACCAGACGTACTGGTATGATTCCAGCATCCAGTGATTTCCTTACAGATAAAAGTTCTAATGATTGTTCAGTTTCTTCATGTCATACGATTATTCAGCTGCGTCAGGATTTTCAAAAATCAGTTTCTAATGTAACCCAATTAGTTGTTGATGTTACACTTAAAACTATCCACTCACTCGTTGACAAAATTCAAGATAGACAACAGAAACAAAATCTTTTGTTATTATTTATGCATTTTCGTGGTATTTTCGATACAACTAAGCATAATATTGCTCGAACTCCTATACCTCACGTTATTAGTACTGTTCCCCACTCGCCTCCCGCTAGTCGACCATATCCGCAGCGTGGTAAAGAAGAGGCGATGTATCAACTCATTCAAGAATTTCTTCATGTCGGTCTGATTGTTGAGTCGAATTCTCCTTACGCTGCGTCGGCAATACTTGTCAAGAAAAAGATAATTCTTTTAGATTGGTGGTTGATTATAAACGACTTAATGCCATAACTATAAAAGATGCCTCACCCCTACCAAATATGGAAGATACCATTCAAAAGTTAGGTAAGGGCTTTAATTACTTTTCTACATTTGATCTAAAATCTGGTTTTTACCAGATTCCGATCAATGATAGTGATAAAGAGAAGACAGCTTTTGTGACTCCTTTCGGTCTTTACCAGTTCAATGTCTTACCGACGGGACTGCGAAATTCTCCTCCAACTTTCCAAAAAGTTATGGCGGATATCTTGAAATCATGTCGTATTTTCTGTTTGGTTTATTTAGACAACATTATCGTATTTTCAAAATCTTTTTCTGACCACCTAGATCATCTTCAACAAGTATTTTTAGCTTTACAAGCGAAGAAATTCATTTTGAATTCCCCGAAGTGTGAGATTGCCGTTCAACAAATCGATTATCTTGGCCATACAATCAGTAACAGTTTTATTAAACCAATGAAGGATAAGATAGACGCTATTCTACGAATAGAGGAACCGCGTACCTTATCTCAAGCAAATCGTTTCATTGGAGCTTTAGGATGATATCGCAAATTCTTACCGAATTTCGCTACCATTGCAGCACCAATATATGCAGTTACTAACCTGACCAAGTATAATCGTCGAAAGTTTAAATGGCAACAGGCTCAGTCTGAAGCTTTTAAAAAACTTAATTCGTTGCTCACTACTGAACCTTTATTTCTTCATTATTCTGTAGATCATCTACCTCTAATTTTAACCACAGATGCTAGTAACATTGGAATATATGGTGTCTTACAACAAGAGATAGATGGCAATATCTGTAATTTGTATTGTCACTCTCAAATGATGACACCATGTGAGAGAAAGTGTAGTACGATAGAGAAAGAAGCTCTAACGATTTATAAATGTATTGACCGTATGCGATGCTTCATATTAGGATGAAGTCTCATCATTATGACTGATCATTGTCCCTTATGCTATATAATGCAAAAGACAATTAAAAATGCTAGAGTAAATCGATTAACACATTTGATTCAGGAATATAATATTGATAAAGTTGTTCACATTCGAGGTCGTTATAACTGTCTACCAGATTACCTTTCTCGGTATTCTAAAGAACAAGATGATGAGTTAAATGACATTGAATATGGATTAGGTAGTAAAAATCATTCAATATTATCTTTCCTAAAACCTTCTGCTAATAATTCAAAATCTCATTCACTAGAATCATCTGATAATCAGAATATATTAGCAGCCGTGACGTTAAGACCACGTAAAAATCAAACAAAAATTACAAATGATACTAGAGATAGTGACAGTGGCACGGCTTCTCATCAAGGATTCGATATAGTATCTCGTAGACGAGATATAAAAAAGAGAAAAGTAGCATCAAATATTTCACAGAATTATTTCGATACAACAAAGTTGAAAATTGAACAGAAACGAGATCCTGATATACAAAATATAGTTCGAAGTTTGAACTTAAAATCTAATCAACTTTCATTTGTATTGAAAGACGATATAGTTTACAAATTAATTAAATTAAATAAACATTCTAATAATCAAACTGAAGTGATCTATTTACCTTCTTCGATGATAAATTCATTGTTACGAGCGTGCCACGATGACCCGATGTCAGGTGCTCACTTTTCTACAAACCGACTATATTATAAAGTTCGAAATCACTTTTGGTGGCCGCGCATGAAGAGCACCATCGAACACTACGTAAAAGCTTGTCGTTTGTGTAAACAATTTAATATAAGTCGTAATAAAAGATTTGGTTACTTGCGTTCTATATCACCATCTGAGGGACCATTTGCTTTAATAAGCATGGACTACTGTGAACCTTTGTCAAGAACTCCTCGGGAGAATCAATATGTCCTTGTCATAACTGACTACTTTACTCGATATGTAACAGCAATTGCGCTTCCAAACTGTACAGCAGAAACTACCGCGCAAGCGTTGTTTAATGAGTATTTCTGTAAATATGGCATACCATCTGTTGTACTCAGTGATCGAGAATCACATTTTCAAAACAAATTAATGGAAAATTTACAGAAACTCATCAGATATAATCATATCTATAGTACACCTTACCATCCCCAAACAAACGGAGTTGTCGAGCGTTTTAACGCTACTTTTGTAACGCAAGTATCGAAGTTACAAGACACTCAGTTATAATAACTGGGATGAATACCTTCAGGCAGTTGTTTTCGCTTATAATACTGGCGTACATAAATCAACTAAATTTTCACTGTATGAACTTTTATATGGTCGTCCTGCTCGTTTCTCTATTCATACGAAACCTGTACAATTTACATTTAATAAACCTATTGATTATTTTGAGCAATTAAAAAAGATCTTGCGTATATTTCATCAAGTACCCAAAGATAATATTTTAGCTTAGCAACAGGTCATAAACACCTATTATAACCGACATTGAGTTAATCCTCAATTAAAATTAGGCAATAAAGTTCTCACTCGTGTATTTGAATCCAAAGGGAAGTTAGATTCGAAGTTTTCGTCTGTTCCTAAAGTCATCGTTGAAGTTAATCATCCAACATACATAGTAGACGATGAACGTACACACATAAGATCACAGATACATATAAGTGATCTCCGACCCATTCTTTCTAAATAAATTCTCATATTTCAGAAAAACAACGAAAACATCTATTTACTAATATTGAATTCTTGAATACTCTCATTAAACTAATATGCATTTCTTTTTTTCATCTTTTCATTCGTTATTATTATAATTCTTTTTCTTTTTCTTTCTGTATGGATATAATAAGTATTAGTACCTACCCTACTAGCTGAGGTGTAAAAGCATGTTGACTTGTACTAATCCTCTATTATGGAAATTATGTCACACTATGGCGCCATAGAAAACATAATAGTTTACAATCACGATACTATAAAGAATCTCAAATGATTTGTACTGAGACTAAGAAATGCGACTTATAATAAAAGTAAATTTAATACCTTATTTGTCATTTCATTTATCTACTTTTTTTCTTCTTTTCATTACTGTATTTGATTATCATCATTAATTAATATCTTATTTCAAATAGCCATCGATCATCAAACATATCCAAGTATTTCTATTACTGAATTCTATATATTATCACTGTTGATTATGAATAATTCATCTTCTCTTGTTCAACCATTTTTGATAATTGCTGACAGTCATGGTAAATGTTTGGGTTTCATCAACAATACATCTAATTATTGAATTGACAATTATTCATTTTCTGGTCTTCAATGGATTCATAATTATAATTCTAAATTGTCTCTTTTTTCTTTGATACAAAACGAACCATTCGTTTCTTTATTACAGTCAACATCTTATGTTTTATTTCTTGTCGGAACAAATTCAGTTAGAAATTTTTCTACAATAGAAGTTATTGATCAAATTGATCACGTCATTACTGTCATTTATTCTCGGTATTCTCGTCTGAGAAACCGCAAAATAATTATCCCTTCATGTATTCCTTGCTTAAAAATTTCAAAGGGTGTGGGTGTGGGTATCTTTTTAGGTAGAAGTCGCACTCACACTAACAACCACACCTACACTCCACACACCCACACCCACACCCTACAAGTCAAGACTAGTCGTTTTTGTAAAAATGACTAGACTGTATTGAAATACTGACGCCCGTCTGTGGGCTAGTCAGGACGCGGTGTAGGGACTCCCAAAAATATTAGACTAGTCATGTCTAGGCCCTTTTGAGAAAAAGCCTAATCACTGACGGAGCATCATGACTAGTAAAACTAACTAGTCTTTTTACCCGTCTTTTGCTCTCCTGGGATAAAGAATACTTCTGCCATATAGAACCTTTTTATGGTTTTAACGAAATTTATTCGTTTATTCATCTATTTACAGTCAGACATGAAGTTCGACGATATTCAAGGAACATTAGTTGAAAAACTGGGCGATAGATTTCTGGAATCTGAAGTTCTCCACTAATATGAGACTCGGCTTACTAAAATTTGCACATCTCTCCGAAAAATTATTTTAATGTATGACTATAGTCGATAAAACGCAACTATAAATTACGTTAATTTCATAAGCACTTTTAGTTATATAAATTTCTTAGATTCTTAGAAAATCATGAGCTGTCGTAATGGTCTGGATTACTCTTGAACACTGTTAGCTCGATGAGTGTGAAATTTTTTCTCCGTTCATTTATGTATTTCCTAAATTGTTTTAGATTCTATTTAATTGTTGTTGGTTGCTTATCTTTTGGTGATTGTGTAGAGTATCATGTTAATATATAGAATACTCAATAAAAAAATAATATGACTCTTTTTTATGTGTATTCGGTACGTCGATATTTGAAATGGCTAGCTTGAAAGTATTAGTTAACAATGAATTTCTTTAAATTTAGTTACCTTTAACTCATTACCAAGATTCTACTGTTATAAAAAAAATGATGCCAAACCGAAACGTGAACATCAACATAGAAAATACTGAACAATAAATGCTATGTGTAGGACGAAATAAAGTTCATATTTCTCTCCAATATAGTCATCTTTTCTAAGTTTGCTGTACAAAGAAAAAAAAATATTATTAAGAATGTTCATTTCCATAAGAAAAATTGTAACCAAAAGAAGTGATATTCGAACTCAGAATAACACGCTATATTATATCGAATACATTTTCGAAAAGATTTTTCATATGAAGAAACGCATGCACCCACACAGAGGCTATTTTTTTTGCTTAAAATGATTCTCTAAAATGTATTTCACTTCAAAAAAACAATTATCAAAAATTATTATATACAGCATTAGTAAATCCTATACTTGACTCAAATTGAAATTCCCTAATATTAAATTTCAATAGAAGTTTAGTTTTTATACAAAAACAAAGGGCATCTTAGATTCATAAAGCAGAAAGTAATATCATTGATGTTGGTATTTATGAAATTTGAATCAATCGACATGGTTTGCAGTTTTTATTGTTATATAATAAGTTAACGTTTTCGGCATGTCAATTCCAGAGATCGATGCTTTATCAAATGCACGTAAATCAAAAATAAAATCATCGATTATTTGAGGCACTACTCAGGCGCATCTACTTTTCAAACAGACACATGTTCGTTGTACATAATACTGACAACAATAGTAAAGAAAAAGAACCAATATGAGAACGCACATGGATGAAAGCAAATATTTGTATATAACAAAACGTGGAGTCAAGCGGCGAAATTTTAATGAGAGAAAATACTACTTATATATGATTTATGAGACATAATCACACGTTTTCATGCAAAGAACGATGACTATCCTTTAATTGCAACATAGTTACAGATTTGTTTAATATAACAATCAATCATTTGTTTATGTGCACATAAAATCAACATTTAATCAAAATGGCTTACTATTGGTCGACAGAATCTGAATACTCAGTACCATATCTTGAAGAAGAAAAGCAGATGTATTCAGGTAAATTTACTATGAATATTTCGTTTATTTTCAAGTCTTGTTTGATACTTTGTAGTAGACGAAAAGAAAAACAAATAATCGTTGAGTTACTCCTCAGAAATCTCGTAACAGAGCCTTCTTCATGTTTAGTAGAATACAAGTATGAAAGAAAAATGTGTAAAACAATGCCAGTAATATCAGAATTCACTGACTGAGCTTAGTATCTTTGAATGAATTCATTTTCTTTATATACTTTTGAATGTATCATAGAAAATATATATGGAAACAATGGCCAAGTGTTGAGAGCTGCTGCAGCTCCTATAGTTAATATAGACAGAACTTCAATATCGTTGGCTCCTGTAGTTCCATATTTTCCACATCTTAATATGCGTACTGTTCAAATTTCTTCTTTTTCCGATGCGTTCGATCCAGAAGTTGATCTCATCGGTATGATTGTCTATGGTTACAACGGTCAAAGTAACTTTTATCTAAATGGAAAACAATGTATAGCAGGCGACATTCTTATAAAGAGAGTCGATGCCATAAATTATATTCAAGCTGATACAATGCACAAAAAACTTTTCAAATGGTTTTTCGGTCAAGATTTGGATTCTCTATTTGTTGGAGGAGGTTTTGCTTATCAAAACGGCACATGGCAACACCATTCGTTCTCATTTAATACTAACCAAGATTTCTATCATGACAATCACAGAGAAATGCATCCCGAAGAACAAGAATTGCTTGGTGGTGCTTTAACACTTCTTTATATTAATCATCGATGGCTTATTAATCCATATCTATCTGTACAAGAGATTTTATCGTTCGGCAACTGGTCCACATTATTTGATGAATCACCTAATTTTATTTCTATACCGATTATATAGTTGGTAAATTCGCAAAAAATAGTTAGAACCTTCATTGTATACTCCTAATTAAAATTGCTGTAAATTCACAAAGAAATCTTATACCCGATATTACAAATATGAACACGGAGAACATGTATATAGATAACAGTGCAACTTTGTATGAATGAACAGCTACACTCACACTTTTAGATTTCAATAACACTCTTCTTATTATCTCATAATTATACTATATCAGTCTAGATTTATAGCACATGAACGTCGTATGAATGTGTGATGTACCAATTGGAGACGTTTTTTCTTATTATCCGACAAAGATCGATTTTTCCTTGAGTTCTATTCTTATCATAGATATGTTTTGAAGTTTGTGGAAATGAAGAAAATTATAGATGAATTGTAGAAATAGACGGCCTCTTTTGTCAATAATCTTTGACTGGTCATCATCAAACAAACGATTAAAATGATTTTCTTTCGAATAAAAAATAAGTTGATTGGTATGACGTCTAGGAGCAATGACTCATGCTTTCTATGGCAGATTTTAAAGTGACTAATGCACTTTGATTATAAATATCGGGCAATGGCTTTTTTGGGATGATAATATATCAGAAAGATTCAGAATTTTATTTGAATTCAAACAAGATATTACTGGTTTGGGGCAAATTTTCCAGAAATCTGTTTAACGCAAAAGACTTTTCGATGGTACTGACCTCTATATTCTATCTTTATCATTGGAGTAACTAACGACTACCGCTCTTTTCGCAAAAATCAGTCTTCACTATTTAGCTTGTCTTTCTCAACACTTGAAAACTTATAATGGCATTCAGTCGAAAAATTTTCATTTAGTTAATTGTTATTATTATTCATTATGAAATAGTCATTACTTGAAGTTATTGTAAGTCAGAAAGTGCTTTTATCGGAAAGACGACTTGAAATTACTATGCAAAGAATTTCTTGAAACAAGCTGGTTTTGAGTGAGGAAAGATGAACAATAATCCAAATATCTGATCTAGCATGATTGAGATGAACTATAATAAAAATTTTTACGTCTCATTCTGCAAGAAAAGTTTTTTTTTTTTTTTTAATATTTTGCTCGTCTAACAGAAGAAAAACTGGTACCTACAGGAGGCCTATCAGTACAAAAAAATTTTACTAACCTGCGCCAGGAAATAAAAAGGAAGTTAGAGAAAAAGAGAGAAATAACAAATAGAAATACAAAATAAACTCAACGAATGAGTAGCTTACAAACGGGGCGAAAGAATAGGGAAGGAATAGAGGTGCGCTAGAAAAGAAAACAAAATATCTATATATAATGAAGAAAATAACGATAGAGGAGAGAAAAAAAGCCAGCAATACGTTCGTGAACAAAAGCATGGCTAGAATGTTTCGGGATGATCCTTCAATAATTCGATATCATCATATTGGATCTGTGGTATCGTATCCAATAGAGGATTACTATCATACCAGGATAAGCACTTTTGCAAGACTGATTCATGCTCCACGAATATTTTCGAGCGACGTAGACCAGATACTCTCTGCTTGCCACCAAGCCAGCCTTCTCTATTTGAATTAAGGAACAGTTGTTCTATAAGCAAATCTCCATCTGTAGAGGAATCAAGAGCTCTTAGGTATTTAAGCCAATAACGTGTACATCTATTTTCAAGCGAGATTTCGTTCAGAGCGAATGCAAAAAAGAAATTCGACCGATGTTGTATATGTAACACTCGTTTAAGACAGGTATAATAAAATTTTGATAGGAATAATCGTTGGCTTTCTGAGAACAGAGGAAAGATAGCAAAAAGCCACGTGAAGATCGGTAGCACGTAGCAAGAAAATAGTACTCTACGAAATTCACGGGAAGTTGTACCAAACATACGACAGGAACTAATCATACCTATTCTCTGACGAATTTTCAAAACGGATTTACTAATCATGGTGGACCAACCTAGTTTGGGACTAATCCAATAGCCGAGGTATTTAAATGACGTACACCATTTGATCGGGTGATCATCACATTTTATGTTAAATTTTGGGCCTTCGTATAATCCCCATGCTCTGGCTGACCAGAGAGCCTCGGTTTTATCAAAATTAATTGGTTGAATGGGGAGCAATGAGTAGTACTCCAGATTCTCGAAGAAAACCTTGAGTCTACGTTCAAGATCTAAGCATTGGTCCAGATACTTAGCACCTGTGTGACCCACCATAGTGGCTGCCAGGTCGTCAGCAAAATAAAACGACGTACATTTTTGCAACAGGACGTCCATGTCTGAATGATACGCGATAAACACTGATGGTGTGAGGCTAGATCCTTGTGGTCCGCCACGTTCTATTGGAAACCAATTGGATCTAGCTCCACCAACTTCTACAAAAGTTCTTCTTCCTAGTAACCATGCCTGGATCCATTGTACGAACATTCTGGGGATACCTAAACGACTTAGTTTACCGACGCAACCTTCGAACCACAGCTAGTCGAAGGCTTGTTTGTAATCAACAAAGACCGTCGCTACTGGGGAACTATTCGACATCAGGTAGGAAATCTGTTCTATCAGTAAAAGTACTCTGGTTTGCAACCTCAAGTTGGAACGGAAGCCGGACTGTGTGTCCGGCAGAATACCACATCTGTTTAAAACATTTAGGAATCTGGTTAGAAACAATCGTTCGATTAGTTTAAGGAAAATATCCAGAAGCGAGATAGGCCTGATGTTAGATACTGAGCAAATGGACTCTTTCTTAGCGAGTAAAATAATACGAACATCTTTCCAAGATGAAGGAAAGAAACATGAGGTAAACGACAAATTGAAAAGCTGAACAAATAATATCCAATACTGCGGAGGAAAAAATTTTAATATGAAGGCGGAAAGGCCATGAGCATCGCATGAGAGCTTTTTATCTCGTGAAGCAACGACTTTTATAACTTCTTCACATGTAACCGGTGGTATAGGTTCATCGTCATTCTCCCAGGCAACCGGGGGAGCATCAACGTAAGGGTGAGGACGAACAACAATCGGAGCTGAGTATAACCGTTTATAATGTTCAGCTGCAATATCTGCCATTTCCTTACTCTTGCGAGCTACTTCCCCATTGGGAAGAACAAAAGCATGCAATGATGCAGTAGCTGGCTTGAAAAAACGCTTTATTCTCGACCAGAAAGCTACTGACGTTGGAGACGATGAATAGCGCATGGCAAGACTCTTTTTCAATTAATTTGAAATGAAGTAGTTTATCTCCTTCTTTAATTCGCGTTTTAAAATCGAAGCTGATCTTCTCAATTCTAAGTCACCCGTTCTTCTCGCTCGCAGAGCGAGTGTTCGACAATAAGCAAGACGAGCACGAATTACATTAGGTAAAGCTACTCGGTATTTATTAAGCGAGAAGTATACTGTACATCTAGCAATTAACAATGATAAAAAAAGAACGTAATCTTTATAAACTTCATCAATACAACTCATATTCCATTGCGCCTGCCAGTAGGGAAAAACAAAAGATAGGAATAGCGAGAAGATCTTCCAGTGAACATTTTTTCCAGTAACTAATTCCTTTCTATTACATGAAAAAACACTAAGTATTGGTTTATAATCACTTGTTGTACCACCTTCATATGTCTGTTTACTTATGGGTAAGCCGCTAGTGAGAGCGTAATCAATTCTACGACCAGAATCAGTTCTCAGGGATGTAGAAGAGTCAGTCAAATGGGGAACTAAGTTACAACTATCCGCCCATTGCAGCAATATTTCACTTGTCTCCAAGTCCTTATCCAAATCCACATTAAAATCGCCCATTAAGACGCATTTTGCGGAGATTAACTGAGTAAGATCTGTCCAGCTCCACTTCTTACTCTTCGGAGCATACATACCAACAACTCTAATTTTTTCTTCTAATTCAATATCAATCGCGCAGACGTTTGGTAAGTAACAATCATATCTGTTTGTTTTAAGACCTTTTCTGACCATTACTATAACTCCACCAAAACTATTTTCACCTTTTTGGTAGTAGATCGAACTATCCGGAAATAATTTGTTTAACCATGGGAGTTCAATTGCGCCAGTTTCAACCAATATGATGATATCGAATTTGAAAGTACATGCAAGTAACTGAACTTCATTCCATCTAAGCTTAAGACCACGAACGTTGAAGAATAAACAATGAAGTGAGTTCAAAGAAGAAATCGTATCTGCACGAACAAATTTTTTCCATCCCGAACAACACGAAGAAAGAGTACACGAACTTTCCCATTCAGCTAGAATACTTTTAAATAATAAAAAATCGAAAGACGAAAAGTTATTTTTCGCACAGTTTAAGAAAAACGACCTATAAGATAATTTAGCTGCTGGGGTACAAGAAAAAAAAGGAGTTGAGAGAGGGGATAAGTTCATTAAAAATGAAGTCTTTTTTCACAGTAGGCTTGGAACTGGTTCTTCCAAACTCCACTTCTCGATTTGAAATCAACATTTAAAGTCCTACCATCTTTGACATTCAGCTCCGATAACATTGACATAATATCATCAATAGTAGGGAGAATTAGTTTTTCTATCACATTTGTTTGATTAAATAATACACCATCATGACGTGAAATTCCTTGTTGTAAAGATCTAATTCCATTGTTAATTTTCAAGTCGAATTTTTGTTTAGCATTCATCCAATCTTCAATTTGTTCAGTTCGTTTAACAAGGTCAACCATAGCATCATTAATATTTTGTACAAATAGGAATAGTTGCTTGTTGTAAATATTCTCTAACATCATATTTAAGATAGTTAATAACCATATGACCATTGGATAATATTTCATCATGTGTTTTTGAAGAGCTAAATTCGACTTTAACAATTTTAGTGTCATATTGATCTTTATTTTTTAATCGAATCGCTTCAAGCACATTGACATAATTGTTTCTTAATTCTTTTTCAAAATCAGTAAAATCAATTTTATAACTAACATTTGTAGTTATCACCGCAAGTTGTGGTGGAATTGATGGTTGTTTAGCAATGGTAAATGTTTCATTGAATAATTAATCTATCAGGCCATTTAATGTCCGAATAAAGAAAGGAAAAAGATGAACTATCTTTAACAAAAATTAAAAGATTACATTCATTTGTATTACATCTGTTTGACGACGTTCTAAACCCAACTAGATCAAGATCAAAAGAAAAATTTACTTTACTGTAATTCAATAATTCATCAATAACTGCTTTGTCATTTATTTTTCCAACATTGAATTTAAGAATAAAGGGAGGAAATGGATAACGAGATGTTGCAAAACGTTGTGCTTCATTTATAATTGTACTTGTGCTTGAATTTGTATTTGATGGTAAAATGGATGACGATGTATTTGATTAAACATAATAATCATGTGGACGTGGTTGTTGAAAAGCTGGTGAATCATCACAACTTTCTATTGGTGCTTCATTACCACTTTGTTTTCTTTTCTTAGTTGATCGTCCTGTTGTATATGTATGTGTTGCATAAGAATGTACTTGTGTATCAGGTGAATCATACGTGTCTACTTTTTCGATTCGACTGCGTGTTAATCGAGGTGAACGTGTTTGTTTTTGTTTGATATAATGAGGATTTGGTGAATTTCGATCATTATTTCTTATCAGTTGATGATCACGAACGTGATGATAATTGTTGTCCGTATACCTGGAATTAACGAAAATTGATGAACTTTTAACTTGATGCTGTTGAAGCTGTGGAGCTTCAGGCAAATTGTAGAAGCGGAAGGAAGAGCCCGGATTTGTTGACATAGTGGTTCGAGCCCCAACCTGGCCAGTTAATACTCTGTCAAGAATTAGTAAGTTAATTAAGAATAAATTGAATACCCGAATAGCGGGGTGAAAAATAAGAACAAAAGACGTATATATAGCTATATATGTACGTGCTGGTATAGAAAAGAGAATATAAATACGACCGTCACCGATGAAGAAAAATGAGGAATGAGGAATAGTGTTTATTTATAAAAAGACCGTCATCAACTATAACTGAACTGAAAAGATGTCAAATATTGCACTCTTGCAAAGAGATTTTATCAATTACTAATCATTCACAACAGTGCTTGATTACTGCTCCGATAAAAATAATAATCGCGAACTAAATCACCTCTTGGAAATCATAAATTTGAGAAATGAAACATTGTTGTATGCTTACGGCCATACCACGTTGAATACACCAGTTCTCGTCCGATCACTGAAGTTAAGCAACGTCGGGCTCGGTTAGTACTTGGATGGGTGACCGCCTGGGAATACCGAGTGTCGTAAGCTTTTTTTCTTTTCATTTACACGTACACAAAGAAAACAAAATTCATAAATCTACATCATACTTTATTTTTGTGACAGCTTCTCACTTAGTACATACTGAAATAACTAATATATGACACATATGTTACTTCCAGATATTCGTTTGAAAATAAGCATTGTGCACATTCTCTATAACGACAGACAATAAAGAACGTAATCCTTTCACAAAATCAATACTTGTGGGGCCTCCATTCAGTTACGCTTGCTTATCATAGACACTATGATTCTCAGATTTTTACCGCCTTCCGATTAATCATGTAGTGGACTCAATGTCGAAGTTTACATTCTGGAAGGATAAAAATTTGTATAGCCGGGAATAGTATGTATTTATACAAAGACAGTCATAAAGTATAATTGAATTGAAAAGGAGAAAAATGTGACGCTCTCACAATTAGATTTTGAGCACTCATATATATGATTTGAAAAAGTGTTCGATTATTGTTTGCATACGAATGATAAACACGAACTCATTCAAGTCTGAGAAATCATAAAGTCGAGAATGAAACATTGTTGTATGCTTACGGCCATACCATGTTGAATACACCAGTTCTCGTCCGATCACTGAAGTTAAGCAACGTCGGGCTCGGTTAGTACTTGGATGGGTGACCGCCTGGGAATACCGAGTGTCGTAAGCTCTTTTTTTTGTTGGATCTACATAATGTATGTTTTATGGTTTCAAAAAATATCCTGAGAAATGCTGAAGACAATATTTTTTTGTTTAAATTATCTTCAGCTGTGTTTTAATAGTTTTCAAAAAAAACGGAGAGCAATTAATGGAGCGTCTGATGTTGTAAAATAGTTTGAAATTCAATGAATTCAATGGTATAATTTACTAGTGCTTCATGTGCTTAGGCCACTGTCAGTTGGTTGGTGATTAATACTCATTAACGATTACCTCAATGAGGTGCATATATGATTGGATAACAGTCACAAAAAGTGGATACTGTGAAATGTTGTGAAATGTAGCGAATTTTATGTGAGAGAGTGTATATGAAATTTATCAATGTTTAAAGTTGTTTTTGATAGATAAACCTAATATGTGTGTATATGAGCATCGAATGTTGTAATCTAATTCGAGAACTTGCTTGGACGGTTCAAGGTGAACTTTGTCGAGTGGAGTTGTAAGCTGGTTTAGCTTGAAAACATGTCATGTGTAGTAGAGTTGATTTTTTGTAACTTAATCTACTGGTTTTATCATTAGTCTTTCATGTTTTGGTTGAAAAATGGATGTTTATCAAGTTATTAGTTGATATTATCGGCATATATCTTATCTACGGTTCAGACAATTGAAAAACAGCTCCAGAATGTTTCTTTGCTCTGTGCACTATGAACAAATGAATTGCAGACAAATTATTATATTGTATCAATATACTTCTAAAAGTGTAAAATCCTAGGTGATATGGTTTGTAGTAATGTTAGAGAATCGTAGTAACATTATCCTATTTTTTTTTTATATTTTAAAAGAATATTTTAGAATATCTCTATTGATTAGACAGAAAAGTGAATATTTAAGCGTTCTGTTTTCAATCGTGTATAGATGGTTAAATTTTGTTAAAAATATGTAAGAGAGTGTGGGTGTGTGGGCGTGGGGTGTGGGTGTGAGTTCAGCAGAGGACTAGTAACATCCCACACCCACACCCGGTGACACTGACTCGTTTTTATGCATTTTGTTTTATTCTCAAAACAAAAAACAGAACATTGTCCGTAAAGTGGGAATAATGTGAGTTTGTAAGTTGTGGGCCTCTGATAAAAATAAAAAATGCGAATAACTTCCTTCTATTTGATATGTGCATATATGTAAATACATGTATGTAATGTTCTTAAGCGTCAAATAGTTAGAAAAAGTTATCAAGTATTAGCAACATATGAACTTGGTCCAACTGATAAAATTTTATCTGGTTGAATATGAAATTCCCAATTGTTTTCTATTGATTTAACACGATCAAATGGAGCAGTAAGTACTAAATTTCCACATCGAATTTTCTTTATTGGTGCAGCGCTTTTCCATGTTCCCAGATTCAATATTACTTCTTTCAGTAAATAATGTTCATTTTCCCGAACAGTAAATGGCTTATATTTCAATAGACGTCCGTATGGGTGAGACCGGACCACATGACACTTAATCGGTGATTTCTGTGCGTTATAGATAACAGCTGACTGAACGAAAGCTGGTGCAGGCAAAGTCGAAATTCTTGATGCAAGACATAAAGTAACAATAGCCAAATAAATCATTAACATGATTAATTGTATCTGAAAAACAAAAAAACACACTTCTGTCCATTGTCTGTAGAAATATCTATCGGTTGATTGACAAAGTCTAAAGTAGAACAGAAAATATTTATTATTTTAGAATAAAGCAGCGAAATTACTACAAATTAATGGTTATATTCCTTAGCCTTCAATAAAATATCGAAACTTGAAAAAAAAAACTAACAGTATGAATACTGTCATTCAAATGTTCATTAACATTTTTGTTCTCTGTTAGGAAACCCTGTGATTGTGCCTCAGGGAGAGTTGCAAGATTAGAAAATGTTCGACAGTAGATCTTAAAGATCTTTTTATCATCTGATCCCGGAACAAGCTACAGACCTGTCTATTAGAAAATACTAAAATACGAATGAAATGGCAAAAGTTCACATTTTCTTTTGTAATGATTTCTCAAAAAGCAGAACAGTCGAAAAAACTGAGAGTTTAATTGAATCTATGACAATACTTATAGACTGAATTCATACAGACTCAGAAGGTTTCATTACATTTGCAAGTACTCGATGTAAATGTCGCAGATTATTGACAGTATCATCGTCCACTAAAACAGATAAGAATATCATCTATACGGAAAGAAAAACATGTATATCTTTCCTCGTCTAGAAAAAAAATATCTATATCTGTAGCTGTTGTTTCCATAGAACGAGATAGGATGCAAAGATTTTTTTCATCCTATGTCATCCTAGGCAAAGCCCTGTTAAGCATTTCTGTCATTGTATCCTCCTGTTAGCTCTTGACAAACAACCTTGTTATTTAACTGAAGAAGATGGTTGTGGACTGACAATGTCATTTTGATGAATAAGAAATGAAATAGAGAAAAAAACAATTCCATTTATTGTGAATACAATCAGATATGTTTTTTAACAATAATGTCAATTACTTATCTTATTCAATATTATTTTTTGGTTAATATAAAAATAAACTGTTTCATATTTGATTCATGTGATAAAGTAGAAAAAGATTTTCACTTCTTGTGGAATACTGAATGACTGAGAGGAGAAGAAGAATTTTCATATAATATAAATTGAACTATATTTCATGATTATTATGAATTCAAAACTATTGAGATTTAGTAAAATATATTAGAATTTCTTATTCATTCATCTTTTTATTTAACTTATCCAATCTCATAAAATAGTGTTAAAACAAAAGCTTTTTTTCCCCATAGGATTGCAATATTCTGTCCTATTCAGAATTCCGTTATGTATATATTTAACCATATACGTATGTTATTTACAATTCACTGATGATAAAATATTAAATCATTGAAATTTTATCTAGAAAAATTTCCATCAAAGTATTGATGTTAACAACGAAATCGTATTTATAAATATGAGTTGAGTAAATTATTTCTTTGAACATGTATGAGATAGGGATGTCCCGGGACTAAAGATTCCCTAACAAAGATGGGAATTCTTCTCTGAGACAAACCCTCAAGACTCTACGAGATTTTTATCTAGGGTTGTTCAAATTGACTTAATTTATACGTGCATACAACTGGAAAGATTGATTATGAAAATAAAAGGCCGAGTCTCGGACGAAATTTTATTTTTTTCAATGTTTTGACCGAGACTGACCGAGACTAGGCCTTTTACTTTCGTAATTAATCTGTTCAGTCATAGACACGTATAAATTAAGTCAAGCTGAACAACTTTGGATAAAAATCTCGTAGAGTCTGGGGGGGGGGGGTTTCTTAGAGAAAAATTCCCATCTTGGTTATGGAATCTTCAATCTCGGTATATCCTTAGTATGAGAGATGCTTTTGAAATAAGCTGAACATAAATCAATATCATAGTAATAATATAGGGATAGACTGCTTGAAGTCAAATGATAAACCCCATTGTTTTCCAATTTCTTGGCACTTTAATTTAAAATTAAGACAATTTTCAAAGAAACGTAAACTCTAAACGATTGTCTTTTTGTTTGTATTATTCGATCGAACAAAATAGGTAAAGTCGATATTTTCTTTGCAAGCCTTAGGACAATTTTACACAATCAGCAAAAGAGTGAACACTATTGTCTGATCTTGCATTGTATGAACATTAGTAATTTCTAAATGAATCGCCTGTAATGTTCACCATCGAATTTATTCTTTTGGAGTCATGGTTTCAGTTTCTGTTCTGACACATAGCAAACTACTTGAAAATGTGCTCGCATGAAAGCTAAAAAAATTCTTAAGTTACTGATTCTTTGACTTATTGAGTCGCAACAAATGTCGCAATATTTGGTGTTGCCATTTTTGCATTGTGCTGTGTTGGGATTAGTATAATAATTGCCTCAGAAACAATAAAACATGTAACTAAAACTTTTGGTTTTTATCAGAGGTTAACTATCAGTTTTAGTTTCCCAAATCACTAGATTGGACTAAACGAACGACAGTGTCTGGTTCTCATGTAAGGTTAGTCAAATTCTGAACTTGATATTATATATTATAAAGACTATTCTAAATGAGAATCATAATGGAAAAAAACAATGACTTAACGATGGAGTCACTAATGAACAAAGGAAAATGTTAGGCGGAAAGAACAATGCTATTAGCCATTCATCATAGTCTAACATAGCAACATTAATAATTATCCTTCATTGTTCTTCCGTACGTCAATGAAGATATGAAGGTATATATATATAGAAACGACTAGACATTATGAATTAGACATGGAAATTTCTTCGAATAACTTTATCAATATACTTGATTTGCCCAATGAAATCTTACTGATCATTATCACGAAATTGAATATGGTTGATGCTCTTTATTCACTTGTGGATGTCAATGAACGATTGAATCAATTAGTATTTGATCCATTTAATATTTCTAATCTTGATATGACAATGAAATCATCGTCGGATGATACTTCTTCAATATCTGATCAAGTTCTTGATCGAATTTGTAAAAATGTCTTACCTCAAATTCACCGACATGTCAATAAACTTATTGTTGAACCACATTCATTGAAATATATTCTTCGTAATTTCAATACTTATCCTCAACTTTTCTCGTTATCATTTAATAATTTTCAAGAAAAAATACTTTATCAATATTTAACAGGTATACTATTTTATTTCGTTCATTTTAATCAATAAAATAATGAAATTGTCTGACATGCATTAATAATAATCTTCATTTATTTTTATTTTTCAACTGAAGTTGATTCAAATCTTCATCATCTTCTCACAGAACAAATCACACATCTTAGTGTTCGTATTCAAAATGAAATAATAGCAACATTTTTTGAAACTTTATCAGATGTATTCGTATTGATTTTATCTTCATGTAAACGATTAGTCAGTTTGGATTTTTTTCAATTATTTCCTGATCAAATGTGGTCAAGTAATATTTTTGCTTTCCCATCAACAAGTTTTACGTCTTTAATTTTAACTCAATTGAAAATTAATGTCAAAACTTTTCATGCTTGTCTTTATCTTCTTGATCGACATCTGCCTATTTTATCGGCCTTGATTATTAATGTGTTAAAGATTTCTTGTGCATTATCAAATATAGATAAAATGGTAAGTATATATTCGATTATTGTGCATTCTTAATTTTATTTTCTTTATAGAAAAAACTTCCCAAATTGAAATATTTTTCATTGACTTCACTTGATTATACATGTAACTATGATGATGAAATTATTCCATTACTCCATCGTATGATAAATCTTGAAGAATTGATGTCATATTTAGCGATAATAAGAGTTGACTTACCTTATATTGATGGTGCACATTTATATGAAGATATTCAAATCCATATGCCACGATTAAACAAATTAACTTTTAGTATAAATACAGCTGTTGTCAAAATCAACATTAGCATTAATTTTCCATCAAATGAAGATATTCAACGTAGTTTTATCGAAAGAGGATATCAACAAGTTGGTTCAGATGTCGATTCTACAGTAACAGAAGGTGAAGGTAGATGCCATGTTTATTCACTTCCATATCAATTCGAAACTTTTCTTCATCTTAACAATTCTTTTCAAGGTGGCATGTTTAATAAAGTTCGGCACGTAACTATGACTGATGACCGTCCTTTTGAACATAAATTTTTTTAAATCATCTCACAAGATTTTCCTTTTCTCACAACCTTATCTATATGAAATAAAAAACCACACAAAAATAAGCACCATTCGTCAACATTGATTACATTTTCTCATCTTACTACTCTCAATCTGAATCTAGCACATATAAACTATGGTAAACAGTTTCTTTTGGAACAAAATACTCATCTACCTTGTTTGTCGATTCTTAGCATCAGATACAAAACACTTATAAAAGTAACAAAGAACTTTACCAACAATGCAGCACGTCTCAATTGTAGCAAATTGAGATATCTTCATATGAATGGATTTGATGATCTTCCATCGAATTTTCATCAATATTTTCCTTCATTAAAAAAATATTCTGGTTACATTTTTTGTTAATAAAATGAAATAGTTTGTGAAAGTAAATTAAATCATCTTAATAAGACAAAATACTCTTTTATCTAGGCTATAGTTCTACAAGAGCAGCTTTACTGTTGTTGTTACGGCTTAAAGAATAATTGAAATAAAAATAATACTAGTTTGACTAACAAACAGCATTTTTCTTATCTAAATCAGAAATATTTTGAAAGAAAAACATTTTTTTCTGTATATTAGTCACACTTTTAGTTATAATCCATGACAGATTACAAAATGAATGAAGAAAAGAATAAAAACTTCATAATAAGATCCATACCTATCCTTTTAATCATTAGTGGATGAACTTATATAATTGTTAATGCATAGGAAAAAAAACGTTTAAATCATCTTTCTAGGCTCAGATTTTATTAAAAGAAAATAGTTTTGATAGATGTCATATAAATATTAACAATCATCGACATTCATCGTTTCGTAATACAGCTATACTAAATATAATTTGATACATACATTTTTACCTAGTAAAATGAAATCATTAATGCAAAAATCTATTGCTGCGTTATCAGCTATACTTTCTTTCACAATTCTTAATTTTATCGAAAAAAAAGATCATCGAGATGAATCTTTTCAAAGACAAACATAATAAAAATTATTTATTACAGCCTCGTTGTATTCAAATCATTGGAGTATTAATAATTATTAGATATTGACAAAGACACTTATTCGATTCTTCCTAATCGTCTTGCAAAGGATTTAACTAGCCAAGGTAAATCTTGAACGTTGGCTCTTTCAGCAGGGTGTGAGCGTGATTTTAGTAGGCTTTTTTAGACCCCCGCCCACACCCTTTGGAAAGTAGTTGCTTGTTATTCATTCACTAGGAATGCGAAACAAATGAATTTTGTCGTCATTCATCTCGGATTGTTCTTTTGTTGCGTTTGTATCTTGTTATGAAAAGAAAATAGATTTCAAGTGTGATGTGATCCTCTTTCCAAGCAAAAAAAAACAAAGTTCTGTGAGTGTGTTTAACATTCTTCGTGCCAACAACAAAATTTATTTAGTCATTCCATAGTTTTTTTACTTCTTGGCAATACCATGTGGTAGAAGGTGAACACCAATCGTGAGTGTTTCGAACAGCGAGATAAATTGCTTTTACCTTTCGAATACTATTTGACGCATTTTCAAAATACTGAACCATCAAACAATACATAATGCGATGTCAATTCCAATTACTAACAGTCTTTTACTACTTTTCCAGTTACATCAATTTCTTCTAATGAATAAAATAGGACCAAATCAAAACACATAAATGATATTTTGATTGAAGGCGTCCAATAATCTATGCTACAAAAAATATTTCCAGAAGCTACTAAAGGTCTTAGCGACATATCAGATTTCAAATTGATATGGACATAAAAAAATTATTGTGTTCGGAGAAACTTGTCAAAGTGACGAGAAAACATTAGTTTAAAGACATTTAGCAATGAAACCAACCCGACTTACTCCTATTCTAACTTTACATAATATTCGAAACTCAGCATACGAAAAACCGACAATGGTCTTGTTCAAGATGTCGAAAAATCTATTCTTGTAAACGAGCAAATAAGATATTCGTTCGCTAGATATAATACATATTCTGATATGTGGTAGTGTCCTTTTTTTATTCATGTTTTTTTTTCTTTTCTTGTCTCTTCTTTTTTTTTGCAATTTCAAGCAACTCATATAACATCATTTGTTTTTTTCAACTTTCTCCAGGTGAGAATAAACCAAGAAATAATTGACTTTATTTTTCTCTCCTTTTTGCTTTTATAAATGCCAGTGTTTACTTTAATACACTGGATCATTAGTCTTCAAAAAAAAACAAATGAAGAACACAGCAAAGAAATCATGATATCGTCGTAGAAAAACATATTCTACCCGAAGTATTTAAGTTACTCTGAAGTCAAACTTCGTTATATTCAATTTTGTGTTTTCTTTTTTGTATATTTGGCTTCCCTCACTACCAGAAAACAAAGTGGTGGACATAAATATAGGACACTTTATGTTTGAAAATTTTTCGACGAAGACAAGTAGCTGGGTCAAAACACAAATAGTGATTTGGATAGCCCTTGAAATTTCAGTGAAAAGTTTTCTGGAAAATTTTTTTTGAAAATTTGAAATGTATTGTATTCGATAGAGAATTTCAAGGACTATCCAAATCACTATTTGTATTTGACCCAGCTACTTGTCTTCGTCGAAAAATTTTCAAAAATAAAGTGTCCTATATTTATGTTCACAACTTTAGAAGAATTGTAATACTGATTTGAGTTTTGCCAGTTTATTTTCAGTTTTTCATTTATAGTATCACCATAATCTTCACTAAAATTGAGATGATGTAAGATTAGTTAAATATCAGAACAATTTATTTAAAAAAAATAAATTATAACCACTGTTTAAGCTTCTAGGATTCATAATAAAATCAATAAAATTGAAACTTTCTTCACAAATTATCACGAAAAGATCATAAATTTATACATTTTGTGCAAGTTGGAAATTTTCGAACTTCATGATTCTTCATGTCAATCATGCTCATTAATTTTCATGCAAGTTAGAAAAATACCATCATATAATTACTAGCTTCAATTCGTTTGTGTACTAGTCAATGGATAAATAATAGTCATGAAGTTATTACCAAACAAGTAAATTTCAGTTTCCTAATTACAAGTAAATAGGACTGTTTGGAAATACTTCGATACTATTAATTTATAATGAAAGCAAATGAGTCACTTCTAATTAGAATTCTAAGCGATGTAGATCTATCTGAAGTCCCAAAGATTTATTTTGATTGATTAGTTCATCGAAAACCATAACATGTATAGAATCTTACTTGCACATAAATGTATCATATTGGTCAAACAGAATATATTGAACAACTTTGTAAATGAGCATGATAATTCGAAAAAAGTGCTTAAAATGTCTGTAGGAGATCATAGTTTCTTCGAGAAGCTATCTTATTCAGTGACTTAATCAGTCACATTAGCATAAATTGTCTCTAGGATCGTCTTTCCTTTATTACTCGTTATGTAACTCTCTATTACAATTTAATAACAACCTAGTTCATTACTATAATGAAATATTACTGGAGTGCCATTGGTAAATAACATCTTTGATAAAGAGCAGAACATCTTGTGTGCGACAACATTAAAATTAAGTCAGACTGGGACTCTCATACTATTGTTGTTGTGCAGAAAATTCAGATATTTCTTTCAGAACTAAAGAGAATAATGAGATTAAATTCATTAACATCTCTGGCTTTTCATTAAACAAAATATCTATGAGAAGCCATTTCTGTAAATTTTAGCATTTTAATATGTAATTTTGATTAAGGAAATTAATTTCAATATTATCTCATTGACACTTAAACTTGACAAATACAGATGATACAAACTGAAGTGGTCAATTCCTTTTCAATATCATTTGGCTTATGAATCAATATTCAATGTGATTTATTTTTTAAGTTCTTTCTTCATTCGCGTTAAAATCTCACGAATATAAGCTATCTAAAAGTAACTCATTGAGATGTATCTTGAAGAGAAAACATCTTGGTTTTTGATTTGACGCTCTTCATTAGTCGAATAGGACAAGTTACGAATCACGTACTGATATTAAATCTATATTTTAATCCGGTTTTATCAACTATGATAAGTTAATTATTCATGAGTTTAATTGCTTCGACAATTCTTATCGTGTCTAAATATTAGTATAATTCTGTTTCTTTATACTTTCAGTGTGTCTACTGCAATTGCAATAAAATCCAATAACGATGATGTTATTGTGGAAACTTCGATGGTTTTTTGTACTCTTTGTATTTGCACAATTTAATAGACAATATGTATGAACGACTTGGCCCTTATCCGACTCTTCTGCTGTACAATTTTTGGGCCTTTTTCATGGTGAAGTGAATGCGTATGAATCTCTCGAATTCTTTATTCATGCTCGTGCTATGTTCAAAGCAGCAATCATGCTTTCTCAACAATATGATATAACAATTGAAGGACGACGCATAGGATGGCAAGTTGCACAAACTAATGGCAAACCCGTTGATGTTATGAGTAGCACATGTCAGGCAATATTTGCTTCTAACATTGTTGGTATTGTGGGTCCAGCATTGTCAAGAGAAACTCCTATTACTGCTGGCTTGTGAGAAAGAATTGGTATTCCTGTTATATCCTATGCTGCAACAGATCCTGATTTGTCTGATCGAAATGCTTATCCTGCTTTTTATCGTACAGTTCCTTCAGATAATGCAGCTGCATCAGCATTTGTAAAATTATTTATGCGATTTAATTGGGCTTCATGTATAATGATACATCAAATGATGCATATGGATCTGGTGGTGCAAAAGTACTGACGGAAGCATTTATTAATAATAATTTGATAGTTGCAGATACATTAGTATTTGATATAGTAACACTTCGTATGCGAGATACTTTGAAAAATGTTCTAACTAGTAGTTCAACACGAATTGTTGTATTATGGGCTGGATCAACTTATACATCTTTAATTTTACAAAATGCACTTGATTCTGATGTACTTGGCCCACATTTTACATGGATATTAAGTTCAACTGTTTCATTAAATTCTTTTAGTCGAACATTTCATCAAAAATTAATTGGAATGCTTACTGTTGAACCTATAACAGCAAATGTTGTTCATGCGCCAATTAATACAACATTATTAAATGCCGCCTATAATATTTGAAAACAGTATGAACCTGAAACATTTCCTAACTCAGCAAAAGTAGATTATTACGCATTATTTGCATTTGATGCAACTTGGTTGTTAATTAAATCATTGCAAGAATTTTGTTTAAAAACTGCTAATAGTTCTTCTTCATGTTTATCATGTATCAATTCTTCATCTTGTTTTAATCATTATTTTCTCCATTCCAATTCATTTTTCGTCACGATTAATGGTATGACATTTCTTGGTGTCTCTGGTCCTATACAATTCAATATTAATACAACAGATCGAATAAGTGGTAGTTATTATTTTGCACAAAATACTCAATCTTCTTCGAATAGATTAAATTTTGCACCAGTTTTGCAATACTCTGAACAGGATGATTGGCAAGAATATTCAGAAGCAAATGTAATTATTTGGCCAGGTAGTTCTTTGATACCTCCTACTGGTAGAGCAAAACTTGATGGTGTTAAATTACGAATTGGTGTAATTCAATCAATTCCATTTACAATGATTAGTATCGTAAGAAATGAACTTGGACAAAATACAACAAAATTAATAGGTTATGTACTTGATCTTATCGATCTTTTACAAAAGAAAATGAAATTTATTCCCATCATTGAATTAGTACCATTCAATCAAACGTATGCTTCATTAGGACAACTGGTAGAAGATGGTTTTTATGATATAATCGTAGGTGATGTGACAGTTACAGCTACAAGAAGAGAAAAGACTGGTTTTTCAAACTCAATATTTGATAACACTTTACATATAATCATGCGAAAAAGTCCTGATATTGAAATCGATCTGTTTGCATTCATGAAACCATTATCATTTAAGCTTTGGTTATTGATCTTAGGTGCTACTATTTTTGCTAGTATTTTAATCGTTCTATTTGAGAGAGAAGAAAATTTGGTGTTACAGAATAGATCAATTATTATTTTATGTATAATGAGTGTTTGGTATACTTTTGGTAATCTTGTCGGGTCTGATACAGATTCTTTTAAAGCTAAAACATCTGCTGGACGTCTGTTAACAGCTGGTTTAAATGTATTATGTTTGGCATTAATTGCATCATATACTGCAAACTTAGCATCTGACCGAACAATATCAAAATCGAGGGATATTATTTCTGGAATCGACGATATTAAAAGTGGAAAAATATCATTCAATCGTATTGGTGTTCGTGTAGGTACAGCTAGTGAAGAATATTACTTAAGAGAAATCTCTGAAGGTAATCGAAATTATTATCCATTAAAGTCTCGACAAGAAACTTATGATAGTTTATTAAATAATATAATTGATGTATCTTTTCTTGATGGCGGTGCTGCAGAATATATAACTAACAATATATATTGTAACTTAACATTGGTTGGTGAAGGTTTTGAGAAAGGTGCATTTGCTGTTATTACCCCTAAACAATGGTTATATGGACAAGACTTAGATGTTAACATATTATCATTAAGAGAATCAGGTGATCTTGATACTTTGAAAATAAAATGGTTTCAAATAAAGAAATGTTCTGATTCATCGGAAACATCTAGTGCAATTGGAATTGAATCATTGAGTGGATTATTCATACTATTCGGGGTGATTTATTTTCTATCACTATTATTATTTGCATGGAAAAAACAACAGCACTTATGCAGAAACGCTGAACTATCTCACAATAATAGGATATTTTTGTCACACCTCGAGCAATCAGTGTAAACTATCTGTATATTCGGAATAAACTTGCTACAAGATAAATCAATATACATGTGAAATAGTGACATGTATGAACATTAAAGATTACTAATTTGTTGTCTGATCATATTTCCCTTAGAATCAATTAAATTTCTGTTAATATAGATTTTCCGTCATTCTTTATTTTTCATGATGAATCGACACAATAGACATTGATCACGAAAAAAGATAATATCTCGTTATTATGGTTAGTTGTGTGTTTCAACACAAATTCTTTATTCTTACTTTTATCAATGTTGAAATAGGCAGAAATTTGAGCATTCACAGGATTTTTGATTAAAAATTGAACATTAATTTACTAATAGTAGACAAAAACGATATTTCACATATTGCCTTTCAATGCGTTAAGCACTGATAGGCGCAATCAAAATTCAAAATTTTAAATCTCGGAAAAATGAACTGTCAAATATCATGTTTGAAGAGTCACACATTAGGTTTAGTAGTATTACTATGTATTGAATAATACAAAACAAGAATATATGAAGACAAGTTCAGTGAAAAGTGATGTTCAAAGTTTTTAATAGTTCTTCATTGAAGTATTCCCAGTGCGTAAATACGTCATGTTTGTGTAAGAAAAAAACATTCGATTAGTTCATTAAGACAACAGTTTTGCTGATCATATGATAATACAAATATAGGGATGAAAAAATAAACATTCATAGTCCTCAGAAAAAATTCTTTTGATTAATCATCATTATATCACGGGTTGTTATTGAATCGATTATTAGGATTAATTCAAACATAACAAACCAATCGATGAACTAGCTAACGAAGCATAGATTTAACTTGCATCAAGTCTGAAAAATAAAAATGATTATTTTCATCCATCATTGTTTCGTTGTCGTCAAGCATCTAAATTTGTATCAAAACGTCGATCAACAGTTTGTTAATGGTTGCGAGAAGACATCTTATCTAAGAACAAATTTAACAAAATTGCTGTGCTATAAAGAGAATGATTGTCCTCCTCATGATGAACTAATAATATTGTCCTCGATTCAGTTGCTAGAAAAACTGGTACTACTCAATCACTATTGGCAAGTTGTAGTGATTAATGTATAGCAATTGGAATCTAATGATTTAATGCAGGCTGGATGTAAGTAGGCATTCAATAAACACACAACTACATTGAAATTCAGATCCATTGGCATAAAAGTCTTCCCTCGACAAGAATATCTTAAATTGGGTAAAATCTGACAATCTCCATTAAGTAATTTCTTTATTCACTCCATCGTAGTTTGGTCGGAATGATTGATAAATGTGTTAAATTGTTTCTGAAAAAATGATTGATGACTCTGTACCTTATTTGTCCAAAAAGATTTTTACGATTAACTTAGACAGTTTTGAACGATAATACGTTTAATTAGATTATCGAAACCAAAAACAAACAAAAAATTCCTTAATGTGATAGAAATTCGGCAAATTTACCCATTCAGATTCGGTGCAGTTCCAGTCGAAAATCTGCTATTGGTTGCTCGTTATAGGAGAATTCCATTAGAGTACTCATGTAGCATTAAAATTTTTTATTGATAATGAATTTTTCTCATAAATTCACTTGCTTAAAGTGACACAGTCCATTTTCAGACTATATTGTATCTGAAAATCGTCTACGCAATTTGATGATTGATTTTGGTCGATACTTCTGCAAACAAGAATTAAAACAAGTTGCTTTGAATAAAAATGACAAGTTGCACTAGAATAAAATTCTATTCAAAGAGATAATGTCAGCTATTTCTTTCGATTTTCAAACTCTCTCCGAAGTTTGTTGACGCTGTATATATAGACTACTGCTTCGTGTGTTTCACCATTCATTCAATAGTTACCACAATCTGAAAGTAACAAGCATTCAGCATTGTTATCGAGTACAATAAGATTTTTGCGACACACAGGTTAATTTCAAGAATTCTTTCTAAGATATATGAATGGTATTGTTTTCTTCATTGTGCGGAAACTAGAAATAAACTTTACTTGAAAGCGACAACAAAAAAATGTACGGTTGATCTTGCTCACCTCAATAGAGGCCTCATTATGTGTCACTAATAATCCATTGATTCTTTGAGATTTGCTTAGCTTAATCCTGAAAGTAAGAATATATATAGTATAGAATATTGATTCACATTCTACTAAATACATTCTTAAATGACACTGAAATAAAATCAAAGAAACTTTTTGTGTGAACATTTTCATCAAGTTGTATTGAAATGTATTACCATTCGATTGTTTGCAGCTAGTTAATGTTCTGTGTAAAACCCATGAATTTATACTATTGTTAGCACATATTTCACTAGATATACCATCGGTAAACATCTGTGGCAATATGAATATATTTGATACATGTTCATTATGATTCTATAACTCTTTAGATCATAGGTTTAATTGTTTTTATTTTAAAGCATAAGACACTAATTCGTTCTTCGACAAATAGAACTTTATGAATGATACTATACTGATGTGTACATAGCAAATTTACAAAACTAATCAATTCAAATGTTGCATTCGTGTCCCACAAGTTAAACACAAAGACACAGTGCATTGAATATTGAAATATCGAATTTCATGCAGATAGCAGTGGTATATATTCACCAATTGAAAATTTTGCAATCGATCACTGCTAACCTGTCTAGTTCTAACGGGTGTCCCAGAATAAATTATACCATTCGTATTTTGAGTATAACTCTTCTATTATCCATTAGATCGGGACATCTTTTTATACTAAAAGATAGCGCTTGAAATTCTCTACAAAATTATATATGACTAGTCCCAAAAACTGTNACTGATTTCATATAATCTCTTTCTCATCTCTCATACTTAAATTTTTAATTATCAATCCGATATCTTTGTCTGTTATAATGTACGATATCTATAAAACAATGAAACATTATCCTCTTAAAATGATAAAAAAACCGGTACAAAACCGGCAAAAACCGGCCGGTCTCGAACGTTCGACCGGCCCGGACCGGCAAACCGGCAAACCGGGCCGGTCCGATACCGGTTTACCGGTCCGGTTCCAAGTATGATTCCGACTGTGTCCATCATCTGTCATGACTAAACCATTTTGTTCATTCATACTGTCCAGATTAGTCAGTAAAACAGAAAGTTCAAAAAGATAGATGACGACAGGTGGATTCGAACATCGAATTCCATAATATTGAATGTCTGACACTCATTACATTAAATCTCCTCTATAATAATATTGGTCTACTAGAAGCAGAACATCTCGCCAATGCTATACGACAAAAATCAAGCAAATCTATCTCTTCCTCTCTCCAATTTGCTTATCCTATCACTCACTCACTCATTGTTTCCTGCAGACACTTACCGCACTGAAGTTCCAAGACAACGAAATTGGTAATCAAGGTGTAGACTGTCTTATCTATGCTAGACAAAAAGATAAAGTAAAAATCATTCTTCTCTTTTTCTCAACCTTCTGTTTCTAACACGCATTTTCTATGGTCTACAGACACTGATCACACCCAACCTGTGCGGTAATCCAACCAGCTCCTGGATAGCATTCTTGCGTGATAATATACTTCGTGATCATGAAGAATTTATCAGGAAAACAAGTTATGATAGTTATCATTAAGTATAAACCCTAATTTCGAACATGAACAATTTTTCGTTGATTTGTTCAGAGGAATGTGAGTGTGAATATGAATAGCATTCTCGTTTTTAACCATACCCACACTCATACCACCTTCAAAAAAATCCAACCAAAAGAGCAGTTACAAAAAAATTCTGTTTTTGTTCGATTTTGATTATGCATTTCGAATGATGACGAATTCAGTTTCACCATCTCTTATCTAACAAAAAGAAATTTTATGTATCATAAAGAATCAAATAGCACTTACAGGAAGCTTTTTAACTATAACCACATTGTTATTATCTTTATTCGTTAAATTAGTCAATGAAATAAACGGTTTTTTAAGAATAGCTTCAATTTCGTCTCGTCGTTCAGATGCAATACGAGCAATTTCACTTGTTTGTGGGTCAACCGAATAATAAATTGTTATATCATCAGTTGAAATTAATTTAACCTTTAAAATCAAAGCTAACTATTAATTAAAATTAATAATCAATATGAAAACCAAATATAACCTGTTTACAGAGTTTTTGAACTTGACTCGTAATTTCATAAATAATACCTTCATCTATTAATGATGCATTCGTTGTACAATCAAGTAAAACAACAAACTATTTATAAAAATAAAATGTAAGAAACTACAAGAAAAAAGAAATGAAATAAATAATACTCCTTGTTCAGCAGTAGCTTCAAAACGTGTTTCTTGTCCTACACGATAAACAATATGAATATCTTCCCATTCAATCGGTACATCGTCAAGCATTGTTAATGGACTTTCATCTTGACTCTTCGATAACAATTTTTCAATATCTGCATGAGATAGTTGACGGAGTTTTTCAGATATTTGTTTAACTTTAACTATTTATATTTTCATTTTTTTTTTTGTAAATAAATATCAAAATAGAACAAAAACAATGCTCTCACCACCAAACTTTTTTCCTAATATTGGATAGTTTGGTTCTACATGTATTTCAATACCATAAAGTTTATTATCTTGAGAAAATATTATTTGGCGTACATTTAAACCCTTTAATAGTAATTATAAATATAAAAAAAAAGAAATAAAATTCAAAACAACATACTTCACGAATGAAATCTTCTAAGGATTCAATATTTTTTAATATGGATGAATCTTTATGAATAACAACTAATTCTGGTAATGTATACTAACAACAAGGCTTTTATATTAAATATTTATCTAAGATAAGTCAATTAAATTTACTTTCATGGGAACAACTTTTCGTTCTCGTAGTAGTCGACCTAATTTAGTAACTGTTTGCACAGCAGATATAACACATTCAATATTCTTATTTACTCATGAATGACTAAATAAATTTTTTCATTTTTCTTTAATCAAAAGAAAAGAAAACCGTAAAAATAACAAACTTTGATCTTGGAATCATTTGAAAATGAACACTTAGTGCTTGTTCAGAATCTGATGCTGATTGCGGTATTAATTTTCTTAAAATTTGATACATATATTCAGCAAAAAATGGTGTAAATGGTGCCATTAATTTAGCCACTATTAAAAGAATATAACAAAGAACATTTAATGAAACAAGACGATCTTTTAATGTTGTTTCACCCTAAATGAAAAATGACATTTTTATCAATATTATTAAAAAACAAAGAAGATCAATATTAATTTGCGATTTATAATAAGCAATAGTGTGTTAGTCTTTCTAACTGATATAAAACTAACTGGTATAACTACGAAGGTAAGATAAGTCTTGATTACCTTCAAACGTTTCTTGTTCAATATAACATACCAATTGGTTAACATATCAATATATTTAACAAGACTAGGCACCACCGTATACAAACGATAAACTAAATATTGAAATTCTTTACAAATTATACTTATTTTGCATAAAAACATCACTTTATGACTACAATTACAAGTACAGAAATTTCTACTGAAAAGTCATATATTGAATACATGCTAAGATTATTTTTGAATTTATCAAATACAAACGATGTTTCATTCATAGGGTAGAGGCTATTAACTCTTTGTGATTATTAAACGATTCGAATATTTGAGTTGTTGACTTTTATGTTTGTAGTACTCATAGCAAGTGCTATGGCTGTGTTGGTCTCAGGGTTCTCGACTGTGCCGGTAATAAAAATGAACTGGAAATCCAGAAATTTTCAGTCCATATTATACCAATCAGTTATCCACTTACAAAAATTGTATATTCAATCTATTACATGAGTGAAGTTCAGAGATCCATAGAAGATCTAAAAATCTTCGGTGATTTCTTCAGAACCCATGGAGATGTTCTATTGATCTCTGAAAATTTCTCAAAATGTTTGATGAGGTTCGAAAGATATCCTGTCACCGTTGGAGACCCTTTAGGATATCTGGAGGTGTCGTTGAAATCAAAAGTTAAAAACTTGAATATTCGAATTATAAATTTTAATATTTCAATGGTTGTAGGAACTGTTCGAATTCGACATGTACGGTTTTCAGTTTATTTGAATGAAATATTACATTTTTTACAACTATTAATCGAATTTCCAGTTTTTTGGAAATAATTTTCTTTATCAATGACGACAGCTGAAACTTACCGTTCATTTCTTGTTTAATAAATTCAAGAAATGTTTGTGTATAAGATACAATCCATTTATCAAGAATACTTAGATTTGATGAGATTGATGCATAGAAACATTTTTCATCATAAATAAATTCAATTTTTTCTTCACTTTTTAATTGATCACATGATTGAATAAGAAGACGTAATGTCTTATACCAAGGTAAAAACACATCTCTAACAATATCTCGAACATCTTCTTCTTTAAATTTGAGTGCTTCACCGCGTACGACGGGCGATGTTAGTAAATAAAGCCTATATTAAAAACTAAAACATATAAAATATCTACAGGTAAAATAAACTTAACCTAAGCGCATCCGCACCATAGACATCGAAAATTTTCTTTGGATCAGGATGATTCATTTTTCTGCCACACATTTTTTCTTGATAAGGTGCTAAAATAATCCCATTAACAATTACATTTTTGAATGATAGTTGATCAAATAAAGCCGTTGAAATAACTAATAATGTATAAAACCATCCGCGTGTTTGATCAATACCTTCAGCAATAAAATCAGCTGGAAATGTGTCCATAAATACATGTCGTGTCTCAAATGGATAATGAACTTGTGCATACGGCATAGAACCAGATTCAAACCAAGAATCAAATACTTCAGGTACTCGACGTAATAAACCTTTACCTAATCGAGATGGAATTGTGATTTCATCAACACTAAAATAACTATTATGTTTTAATAAATAACTTAAATGAAAAAAATCTTCATTTACAATTCTCGATGAATATCATCAACAGAAATTCCAGATAATTGTTTTAATTCTTCAATTGAACCAACACAAACAATTTCATGTCTATCATCACTCATCCATAATGGAATCGGAGTTCCCCAATAACGATTTCTTGAAATAGCCCAATCACGTGTATCACGAAGCCAATTATCAAAACGTTTTTCTTTAACATAATCAGGTACCCTATCAGATAAATATGACAGAACAGTAATATGTGATTTTCTATTTCTTACCAATTTATTTTACTATTATTAGCTAATAAACGATCAATCATTCCTTCAACACGAATAAACCATGATGGAGTAAAACGATATATTAATGGTGTGTCACTTCTCAAACAAAATGGATATGCATGTTTGAATACGGATTGATGAACAAGTCTTTTAGCTTCTTTTAAATATTTTATAATAGATTTATCAGCAAGTTTTACATTTTGTCCGTCAAAATCTTTAACTTCATTAGTAAATCGACATTGTGCATCGATTGGACAAACAATAGGTCCTGTATGTTTATTAATAACACCATTGGCAAGACAAACACGATAATCATCTTCTCCAAAATATGGAGCTTGATGAACAATACCTGTACCACTATCTTCTGTTACATAATCATCACACAATACACGGAATGCTGTTTTTACCTATTCAATTAAAACAAGTCATCAATAAAAAGAAAAACAAAAAGAACCTGACATTAGCAAAATACGGGAATAATGGTATATAATGTTTTCCTTGCAATTGAGATCCTTGAAAACTAATTAGATAAAAAAAAATAAATTACATTCAGAGATGAATTTTCATTCAACTTACCTTTCTAATATTTCATAATCGTCAAACTTTTTATAAAGTTCATCTAATCGTTTTTTCATTAAAATAAAAATTTCGTTCTTCGTTTTGTCTAACGAATAAAGAACAAATATAATTTTTCTTTTCTATTTTATCTCATATCAACAAACCAAGAATTTTAACATAAAGTGAATTAGCATTAACACATAGTGCAAGATTAGATGGTAATGTCCATGGAGTTATTGTCCAAGCAACAAGTTTAACAGTTAAATCCTCAACAAGTGAAAATGATATCCAAACAGCTGGATCATCAACATTTTTATAATTTAGATCCGCTTCAAAATTTGATAATGGAGTGCAACAACCCATTGAATATGGCATTACCTTAAAAATATCTTTTTATTCTTAAGTTTTAAAAAATATTCTCGATTCCAACTTTTAAATCATAATAAACAAAACCTTTTTCATATAATTGTTTAAAAATAAACCAAATTGATTCCATAAACCATGGATACATTGTTTTATAATCTCGTCGAAAATCAATCCATCGACCCATACGATCCACAACATCCTTTTTTGTTTAAAATTATTATGAGAAAACTTTTTTATTCTTAAAAAGAATATATACTTCCCATTCTTGAGCATATTGCATAAAAAATTGTCGACAGTAATTGTTATAAGCAGCAATACCAATTTTAGCAACATCATCAGGACCTTTAATATTAAGTATTTTATCGATTTTATATTCCTAATTAGTCAATTATATAATAAATTTAGAATAATAACAAGATGAAAGAAAGAATAATAAATCATACTAGTGCTAGGCCGTGACAATCTAATAACAAAAGAACGCATTTATTTTATGAAAATCAAAAGTAGTAAGTGATGTTTACCCCAACCAAATCGACGTTCAACATGATGCCCAGTTTGATAAGCCCATCGAGTAAGGGCATCTTTAATTGTTCCCGTTAAAATATGTCCATAATGAGGAGGACCAGTAACAAATGGTGGACCATCATAGAATATACATCTTTTAAAAATAATTTCTTTAGATATTTTTAGAAGTCTTCTTTTTCTTTACTTTGGTCGGTCCTTGGATAATCTATTACTTGTTTCGAATGCATTGATTTGCTTCCAAAAAGCTAAAATATTGTTTTCATTATTTCCGAATTGAAGTGTTTCATGGGATACAGAAAACTCAATTGGACTAGACTGCGTTGTCTTTGTTTCCATAATCGTGGCCATATTTTAAGTTAAAAAAAGAGCAGTTTTTTTTACTTAGACTTGAACTAACTCATTATTTAAACATAAATGTTAGAGGTGACGCATGATTCAGCAATCCTCCCTTATATTGCATTTGAGCTGATACAATTTACCAACCATTCTCAACCTTTTGTTGCGTTCTTTATATGATAGGTGTCGGTATGAGGATGTGTGTATGTATCTAAGTATTAGCATCACTCGAGCCAGTTTGTCTATGATATTGCAGTAACTCTAGTAGATTGGGCTTAACCGAAATAGACTTTTCTTAAGCATAGAAATTTAATTTCATGCAGACTGCTGCTTTACCCAGTTACTGGTTAAATAGCTAAAGGAAAATTCTGGATTTGATTCTTTCATCCGAGAAAAAGTTTTGCGGCAAAATAATAATTTTTTAATGAAATCAATTAAAATAGATCCTCNAAAATTAGTCGATAATAAAATGGGTTCAACACGATAATACAGTACTCAAATTTAACAATATGGCAAAAAAAAACAAAAAAAAGGATGAAGTTGAGAATTGATCGACTATTTTTTGTTTCTTATGGCAATAATATAACAGTAATTTCAGTCGGAATCCCGGCATTTTTCGCGGAATTTTCGGGATCCTGCGGGATCCCGCAATTTTTTGAGCGGGATCCCGCACAGGATCCCGGACGGGATCTCGCGGGATCCCGGCGGGAAATTGCCGGGATGAAAGACATGGGCATTTAAAATAAAAGTCCTCTTATTGTATTGTTTCAGAGTAGAAAAAAAATTCAAGAAGCAAACAGATGCATATGGAGTAAGATACCCAGAAATAGTCGTAAGCTGATATTTTTTCTTCGATTGCTTAGAATGTATGAGGTAAATTTTATTGTCTCTGAGAAAAAACAAATAAAAAAGTAGCACTATAACGGATACATTCGAAAGCGAATCAAATAGGTATTATGGTGGAGAACTACTCTTTCTTTTATTTATGATGATATTCCTAGAGTAGAGTGTGGATGTGAATTTTCTTGTTCTTCGTTCACATCCAAACCCTCTTTGTTTAGTTTCTTTGATTCATTACGATATTCTTTTAATTAAGTCAAAAGAAGATTAAAAAAATTGGTCACGACATTTATGACGAGCCCATTAATATCACATGGTGAAATACTTTTCATAACTGAGAACACCAGCTATAATGATACCCTAAACGAATTTCAATATAGTAGACTAATGGAAACAATTTATCATTATTTCAAGACGTTGCAATTTACACTGATTATAGAAGTTGTAGATATTTGAATGTTTTATTTCACAAGTTTTAACAACATATATTGTTATTCAACAGTGCTAGTAGATATCACTGAATTATTTATGTTCCTGTTAGTCATCAACAATTAATGTCTACAACATTCTTTGTTTTTTTCGTCTCGTAACTATTATGAATGAAAAGGGTAATCGTTTCTTCATTCATTTATTAAATAACTAGATTGCAGTCAATTGATGATAATAAAGAAATTATCTGTGTCACTCCTATTCGCTTGAGATTGAGTTTTTTTTTCTAATGAGAGATTAGCTGTATTCTTTTATCCATCAAGATAAAATTAACAAAACTTGCAATAGACTCATTTTTCGATTTCACAAAAAACTAAACCAATTGAGAGTTTGAAACAGAGTCATTTCCTTATTCTTTCTTGCTGTTCTTCAAAGTGTATCAAAGGTGTCGATGGGTCAACTATCTAGAGAATTTGAACGATTACTTATTCTTCGCAGTCACTAAACTTGACTTTACTTCGTTTCCCTATGAGCATATGAAATCTACTTTTTATAAAAACAGCAGTAAAAATTGTCGACAATCATAACCTCACGATAATTAGAATAACTGTAAAACTAAAGAAAAAATATTTTTGAAACGAATGTCAAAACTGATAGTCTTCAGAAATATTTATAAAATGTCATGTTTCTGTAAAATTCAAATACTGTGTAAATATCATCCTCTTTTGGCTAGAAGAGTTTCTCGAGTACACGTGCAAATATATCTTAAGTCACTGGAAAGAAAATTTCTTATCATTTTATAGCATGAAATTTCAATATCTTTGACTATTTTCTGCAAAGTTTTAAATGAATTAAATTTCATCGATTTTAGTTACTGGAATGAAAAGTGAAAGATCGATGAAAAAGATTAATAAATATGACTCATTTAAGAATTTCTGACACAAAAGTTAAAGACACTGAAACGATATACTTTAGAATAAGCAACACATTTTTATTTTAATGACAAAGGAATACCCAAAACATTTGCTCACATGCCTAACAATGCCTCATAACTAAAGTTTGATATTTGTACGATTTGCTTGAATAACTACTACGTAACGATAGATATAGACTGCCCTTACATGCATTGACAGAGACTAACATATTCAATTTTTTATGAGTATTTAGTATATGCTTGGAACCCTAAACTCAAAGCCTTATCACATTCTTTCTCTCATTTTGTTCGGATACAGTTCATCAAGTATCATAATAAAAAATACGCTTGAAATTTTAAACACCGATGGTACCAAAAAAAAATCTAAAATGTTTTTATTGCAAATATAAGAGAAAATAAACCTAAGATTCTGATTTTCGTTGAATCCTTTTTTTAAATTTGAAATTCGTATACATCTAATATTTTTCATCTGAGTACAGTACCTGCCATCTTAAACTACATATGATCCAAATATTACAATAGAGAATATACAGGAAATGTTAGTATATTCTCTAGGTGAATATAGCACCCTTTAAGATTTATTCTAAACGCTATGTAAGTAATCGAAAATCTCTGAAAGGTTACAACTAGATAAGATCGGAAATCTGCTATCCCTTATGTTACAATTTCAATAGATTAGCAAGATAGAGCCTAAAATTCTGCACATTTCTGTGTATTTTTTTTGCTGAATGTCAAAAGAACGTTTAGGGATTCAATACTCTTAGAGTGCCTATTGTTTCTGAGTATTTTCAATAAGAACTTTGAAAACTATAACTTTTTCTTTTGTTGTATACCTAATATAGGAATTATGGTGTAAGTATGAAATATCAGTTTCTCCATCATTCACACCCTAGTTTTCATCTTAGGTATCCAAAAAACATAATCATCGTTTAGGATTGATCTGGACCGTTGTCTACTTCAATCATAATTGATCAATATACGGTCATGTACGACCGTGAGTGATTAACCTGGATCCCCATAGTAACCTTTTCTAGTTACACTGTCATAGAATTGTTCAGTCTCGGATTTTACACTTTTTCCCAAATTCAAACACGAGTATAAAAACCACTTGATCAAACCTATATGCAAACATGGATACAAGAAACTGCCTTACCAATTGATCAGGACTGAGATTGTACAATTATACTTTGAAAGTACTTTTTCTATGGAGTACTTAATAGTAGTTCGCTACGACAGGCCGTCAAACTAACTTTTTTGACAAGCAATATAATTTTTTTCTTGAATGTTTTTCATTTAATTTTTTCGTTAGGGACAATCTACTATACGAAAATAACGACTTTTTATAAAGTTTCTTCAAAAGTTCTTGAACTCAAGAGAACTTGACTGAGAAATCAAGTACATAATTTCGAGAAACTGATTTCTGGCTTGGACTCCTTGGCATAAAAAGTCCTTGGTCAAACTTTATAAAAATTCATAAGTTTCTTTCAATAGCTATCATCTGAGAAAGAATTAAATCCATGAATTTTTCACTATCCCGTTGCCAAATTAATAGTAACGATTCGCTACCAGGTACTTGGTCGCATAAATATAACTTTCTTCTCATGATATTTTGGAAAGATTTACAAGAACCACTCCAAGGTAGTTCCTGGAAGATTATAGGAACTATCTCTTAGCGTTGCTTGAAAATTTATTGGTATCTTATCAATCTGAGCATGATCAGTTCTCTGATAGGAGTCAAGACATCAAAACAGTTCATCAGATCGAAAGTTTTATTAGGCCATCCAACCCCTACTTGTTTGCTTTTTTATTATTATAATTGAATAAGTAAAGCTATTCCATACTTGCGCTAGAATCATCTTTGTAATAGAAGTTCAGCATGAAAAACAAAGGCTCAAGATAGAACTCTTTTAAAAACTATAATAACTACGCTATCAATGATTTTACTAATTTTTTGTGGAACTCACATATATTTTCGAAGAAAATAGTGAGTGGAAGTTTTAAATCGAAGTTTTGCGGCTCCCCCTAGGCTACCACCATTACAGACCATAGCAACGGAAGAGAAGATTTACAGCATGCACCCCCCACCCCCGCCATTACAGACCATAGCAAAGTAATTCTCCATTACAGACCTTAGCGACCAGGTTTAAAATAATGGATATACATATACATATATATATATAATGGTTTAATTTGCCATATAATTCAAAGCTTCTTATAATAAAAATGTAAAATTAAAGAAAAAAGCAGTGTTACAAATGAAAAATACTGAGCGAACAGCAACAAAGAAGATGAAAAATAAGGACGCCTGTCAGAAAATTAAAAAATTCGTGATTTTATACTATCTATATTGCATATTAGTATAATGAAGGTGAAGTATATATGTGAGTTTCACATTTCAGCTCCGCAGGAGCTGCGCTAACAAGCTGTTTTTATTACTATGTGTAATATTTCATTCTTGTTAAAAAGCATCAGCAGACACACATTAGTTTAAAAAATTGTTTTATAAAGAGAATCAAAGAAATAGCATTATAAATACAAAGAATTTCTTTCGTTCTGTCAACATTCAATACAAGGGAGAGAGGGACAATTGATTTGTATTGAAATATTGATAGAACGAAAGAAATTCTTTGTATTGAAAATGCTATTTCTTTTGACTAATATGCGCCCGACGATGTTTTTAGTGAGAACGAAATGTTACGCATATTAATGAAAAAAATTAATAAAATGATTGATAGTTTAGTCTCTATAATTTTGACATTATTAAATGTTATACTATCAAACAACATACATTGAAGTCTCTTAAATATTTGAAACCATTTTTTAACTCACACGGTTCTTTAAATAACCTCGAGACCTTGATAGTTTATCAATAAACGCATGGAACATTAAAAAGTTCAACATATTCGCTAAAGCCATAAATGATGTCTTATAACACTTTTTTTTTTGCAGAGAGCTTCCCTAGTTTGTAGTCTTTGTGATGGTCCTTTAATTAAGTGTTGCTTTTCAACATTATAGAAATGATATTCATGCGATATCAAAATAAATTCTTCATCATATTAAATAACGTTTTTATACGAATATACAAATGTATACAAACCATCAATAATATTTATTTATTTTCGAATTCGTTTTCTTTTGTTATAGCAAATTATTATAGAGAGTATGATTAATGATTAGTAAAATAACTGAAATGATCAGTAATTGAAATAATTATAAAATCAGTCAACTTAATAATTAATCAGTAAATTACTTCAACAGTTAGTTATTAATTAATTAGGTTTGTAAATAAATTTAAAAATCAGTAAATACCATTTATTAACAGTCGATTATATTAAAGAATCAATATAAAAATTGGAATGGTTATAGAATAAATCATTGTTGTTCTTCTTTTCTTTTCTCTTCAGTTATTTCTACATATGTTTTCCTTCTTTGGACCTACTTCATTTAACCCACATATTTTGTAAATAAGAAGAATCATTATTTTTATGTTTTTTTATTGTGGATTATCTAAAACAAAGAGAAAGAAGCTTCGCGACTTCTTAGCTGGTCGTTGTGCTATCTATTCCTATGTATAAATATTTAGTGTTTTTCAAATAAAAATAACATATTTCGCGTTTACAAAATTTTGATGTGTTTTTAACTATGGAAGTAGTGCAAATTTTTCAATATGAAAAAGATACATCAGATGAAGAGGTAGTGGAAGAAGATTATGAAATAAATAGAAATAAAAGAATCCTAACAAAAGAGGGAATCAAAACATTAGATAAAAAAAATACATTTAGTAATGAATGATTCAAATCAAATGATAATTGTTATGAAGGTATACAACTATATGTACCACGTACAAACAACGCCCCAGAAACAACCACTAAAACAATTAAAGATGATTTAACATTTCGAAAACGCTATGTTTTATCAAGAGTTTTAACAATTTCTTCAAATATTGTTAATAATTGGTCAACTGAACGAGATTTATCCTCAGTTAATGCAAGATTATTCGCTACAGAACCAACAATATCTTTAGAATAATGGATTTTATCACATCAATGGGGTAAATCATTAAAAGGCATCATTTGTATTCCTAATGATTATTCAAAAAAATATTGTATACCAATTAGTGATTCATAATCAACTAGACAAGGTGATTTAGATACACATTAAAAAAATGGGCAACGTTAAATTAATTCAAAAGATCATTTGACATTCGATGCATGGAATTGGAGAGTAATTCACATTAAAAAACATCGAAATGTAACTGTCCAGATTTTTTAAGAATTATATGTGCAAGCACATTGTGGCTATGGCTATTTGCTTGAAATATTGTAAATCATCAACATAAAAAAAAGTGCCGATCGATGAAAAACAAAAAGAAAAGAGGTAGACTTTTCAGTCAGACAAGGGTTGAAAAAAACGACGTTTTTACGCGTAAAAAAAGATATTTTTCTTTTTAAAAATGAACTTCATAACCTTAATATTTACAAACTTGCTTTTTCTTCAAAAAAAAATCTTTTTTTTGATGCGTAAAAATGTGCGCTTTTTACGCGTAAAAACGTCGTTTTTCTCAACGCTTGTCTGACTGGATTGGAAACGTAAAATCTATTTTACTAATGCAATAATTTATTGTTGTTTTTCTTTTCCTTTTCAATTATTGGTTATCATTCTCCTTATTTAATTTTTGATTCTGTGATTTATTTAAATTTATTTACTACCCGAAACGCTTATTTTTTACTGATAAATTTTCTATTGACTGACTTTTGTATATTTTACTGATACAAATCGAATTTTTTCACTACTATTTATATTTAATAAAATGACCATTTTACAATTAATTATTGATAAATTTATTACTGACCATTTAATATTAATATTGACCATTTACGTACTTTTTACTGATCACTTAAATGGTAGTCATTATGAAATGTTTTGTTATTAGGACGAAGTATTAACTACATAGGTTATATATTTACCTATCCATTTTTTGTTAATCAACATCAATAAACTTTCATAAAGAGTTTGATAAACTTGTACTTTGAAGTAGTTCGTAGACAGAAGCTCTATATTCATGAGAAAAACAACTATGCAACAGCAGTATTGAGTATACCAACAAATGCTGAGTAGTCACTGTTTACAAAAACTAATCAACAAACTCTAGTTTCTTAAATAAAATAACAAGATCAGATGGTCGAATAATTTTTCAACTTAATAAATTTCAAATATTTAGCTTTTTTCAAAGTAAACCAATATTGGTTTCCATCCTGCTTAATAAAAGCTTTGAGAATAAATTTATCTAACTAGTCTGCGCATATTCCATACAAGGTTAAACGACTCATACTCATTCTTACTCGTTTGTTACAAGTGTGTTGTTAGAGCTTCATCTTTGAAAAAGAAATTGGCAATGTGATATAGAGTTTCTAGGTTGGTTGTGTAATGTTGTTTGTGTTGTACTAGGCAACAAGTGCATTATTTGATAATGAAATATTTCAACTTGTACAAAAGAAATAAAAGAACGCAATTTCTATTTCTATAGTGAATAACAAATAAAGAGTCACTAAGGACACATACAATTCAACAACAAGCCATTATGCAGATGGTATATAAACTGTGACAATTTCTCTACAAGAATATGAAAAAAAAATTATACAGCAGCACTGTAAGTTACACTACACAAACACTTGAACACGAAGCACGCAAGGTAAAGTTGAGTATCAAATCAATTTTTTATTCGTTTTGAATCGAGAAAGATTGTTCTCAGTTCCATTTTCAAATACATGTAGAAGAATTTTGCATGGGTCTTCGGCTTGTTCAAACTCTATTTTTTTTGACACAATACAACTGATTTGATCTTGTTTTAAAATGTATTTTTTTTTGTATACTAAGATATTGAGAATTTTTTTGCTTATTTTTATCGATATATATATCAGTGTCACAAGTTTTAGAACGTATAGAGGAATCATTGAGGATAGCGTCTCACAAAATTGTTAACGAGTAAGGATAAAAATTGATATCCTTCAACTAGTGGAACTGTTGAGCATGACGTAATAATCTCGACATAATAAATATGATATTTTCTTTTCAGAGTTATCTTCGGTCTGATTGATTCATCAAAAGGATCGATTTTAAATCTTGCATTTCAATGCTACACGCACCCATACTCATCTGTTTCGGAAAAGCTATATTAGAGTACAGAAGCTAATATGATATAAAAAGATATTTAAAGGAAAGAAATTGTTTTGTCACACTTTCGATTCAATCCAAAATATAATACAAAATAAAGTTCTTATGTTTCATTAAAACATCTAGAATATTCGAATCGTATTGATTCTTTTTCTTTTATTTAACAGAATATTCAAATAATTAAATTAGAAAAATGTCTCGCGATCCGGCCGATGCAAACAGTCGAATGACATATGAACGTTTTCTTGAATTTGAACGTTTAATGAAAGGATATTCTTCATCAAGATTCCAACCTTATAATCCAGCACCAATCGGTCTCTGTGCTTTTGCCTTAACATTATTTGTTTATTCAATGTACATGGCTGGTGCAACTGTTCCTGTCTCAACTACACCTAGTATGGCAATGGGTCTTGCACTTTTCTATGGTGGTTTGATTCAATTTCTTGCTGGTTTATTTGAATTGCGCATAGGAAACAACTTTAATGCACTTTTATTTTGTTCTTATGCTGGTTATTGGTTTGGACTTGGTGCACTTTATGCAAGTACATTTAGCTTTGCTAGTGGCATAACAGATACAAGTGTACAATATAAAGCATTAGGTGTTTTCTATCTTGCATGGACAATATTTACATTAGTCATGTTAATTGCATCGATTCGAACAAATATAGTTTTAATAGTATTTTTCTTCTTTTTACTGCTAACTTATATTTTATTTACAGCAAGTTACTTTTTATTATGGGATCAAAATTTATCACGTGCAGGAGGAGCTATTGGAATATTTACAGCAATCATTGCTTGGTATGCAGGATTTGCAAGCTTAATGAAAAAAGGTGACAATTCATATTTCGATCTGCCAGTGTTCGGTTTATCACCAAAATCTGGAGCAGATTCAACTGGAGATTCGGCGGTTGAAGTTCGTGTACAAAAACCATGAACAAAAAAAACTCACATATAAGACTGATTTCTTTCGTGAAAATAATTAGTTTCACTTAGATATTCATTCTACTAACATGAGTATAATATTTTACTAAAATCATTCTGTTCGTTCCATTTAAATCTCCAATTGTAGTTTTTTCCTACCTTATTGATTGGTTTATTGAACGTTTTGTTTTACGATGAAGTTCTTTTTTTTTTTTTTTTTAAATAAAAATGCAGTCACTGCATCACATTGAATTTTCAGTAGAAACAAGAAGCAAAACATATATAAAAAAAAGATAGATATTTTGACATTGATTAACTTGAGGTAATAAATTGTGATACAATATATAAAGCTTTATATGTTCAAGGTAGAGCCCTTCAGGTAGATACCTATTTGGATCCGGGTTTGGGTGTAGGTGGGTGTGCATAGTGGTTTTATCTCCACCCACACCCACACCAACTAATTATTAAAGAGAAATATTTTTGTTAATTTTACTTCTGAATATTAATAGGAAATTTTATTGATTAAACTAATATTTTTATAACAAAATCAAAATTGAAGATCAATAAAAAACGAAACAATTTTTTTCAAAAATTAATTGAAATAAATTCTATTTAATTTTAGTAAATTTACCGGATAAAAGAGTAATCAGATCATCTTATAGTATTGTCTAACCTTGTTGTCAATGAAAGTTTAAGACGTTTTGTAGAGCTTGTTCTCGGACCATGGCTGCTAAGATAGGAGAAAGCTTTTTGAGGCATGGTGGGTACCCATTTACTATGAAACTTTAAGTGATTTCCACATTATTACAAGTTTAATATGTGAAAAGTAATATCTAATGTTTAGAAAATCTTTTATTTTCTTCATGAGTTGGTTGAACTCAATAGAAAAAAATTAAAATATTAGTTATAGAACTATGAAAAAATGTTAAATGACTATTATTTTATTTAAGAATATTTATAAAATATAATTGTTTAATTTTTTTGAACAATTTTAAAATAAAAATGAACAGAATTATTTTTGATCCTTCACACTTATTCGTTTTTACTTTTTATTTTAAGTTCAGTCGAATGTTCAATAAGCATCGTATGGGATTTTAGCTGGGCAAGAACGCAGATCTTTAAGAACATGCGAATCGATTAGTACGTAAATGAAATTGACTGATAAGAAACGATAAAATTTTTGCGTTTATCTCAACATGTAGTTATTTTTGAATAAAATCTTTGTCAATTAGATAAACAATTAAAAGAACTTGTCTATTTGAAGATTTATGGTGAAATTTCTAATCAAAAAGTAAAATCTTGTTGTTCAATAGTTCAAACTCGTTTTCCAAATAGGCGAATTGATATTCAAATATCAATATTTCATCTTTGGATGTAATTATTATATCTTATATGACGCAGCTATACCTTTAAAATAACTAACATCACTATATTTTTCTCTAAGGATTCAATTGATCAAGATTTTTCCTCATATTCTTCAGTTTTTGTTTTCAACAAATCTCATATATGACCACCATCTCTAATTAATAATTATATTAACAACAGCCATATTATCAGTTATCTACTTTTAAAATTAGTATTATAATTATACCATATTTCTTCATTTAATCAGGTTGTGATTATATTTTTCTAATACATAAAGCATTCAATCCTCGTTAAAATTGCATGCAACTAAATTTTATGGAAATAGAAGCGAATCATTTTTAAGAGTCATACTATGAACATGAAGCGTCAACAACTTTCAAAGATGAAATATGGCTTATTGTGTTTAGATGTATTCATGTTGTTGTGTAATGGCAAAGTACACTTTTCATTTTGTAGAACTTCAACAGTTCTTTCTTTTTGGAGTGATAAAAATGTTCAACAAAAAACATTTTAGAAAAAAATAAACATAATGAATTGTTTAAATTCTAAATTTAATAAAGAACGGCATCTATTTTATCTGACTTATTAGATCTGTTCCAAAGAGTTAATATTGCTAAGCCAACTATGGTCTTTGCGCAGCAACATTTTTATCGATTGCAACTCGACTCAATAACACTGTAATAGTCTATCTTAATGCGCTCCCCTCCCTATCTTCCGAAGTTTCTCGAAAAGAGCTCAACGAAAAATAATGAAACTTTTAAGGCAGATAGATCTTGACAAGTGAAGAAAAAGTTGTCATAAACTCAATATTTCCAGTTGCTTCCTTCAGAGAGATATGGAGATCGCAAAGTTTTGAGCTGCAATCCTATTATAACAACTAGAATCAAATCAGAGTACATTTGTTTTTCAAAACTAGCATTCCTAGAGCTCAAGAGAAGCAAAATACTGAAACCGTTGTCGACAAGCGTGTCTTTTTCTTTTTACCGGTACTACTTTTCTAAAAAGCTGTCGAATTTCGTAGGAACGCTAGTTTAAAGAACAGAAAACCAATGCTTCAGTTTGCTCAAAGTACACATAAAAAGTGTCAGTCTATGTTGAGACTTTTTTCTCCATCTAAATTGATTGAAAACTGGCCGCGTTCAATGATGTTAGGAGCCATGACCTATGCTCTAAGCACCTTTGCAATGAAAAATAGGCATCATGTTTAGGAGAATAATCGCAGCACGAGTTTTTTCTGCTAGGAATGTTGAAAGTTAGGTTGAATAAACGTACTAACTAACAACGAAGACACCTTATTTATATGGCATTTGACAGAGGACACACCTCAGAACTATATTACCGATAGAAAACCAAAACTAACAAAATTTTAGATTTTCATGTTTAGAAATGGGCGGGGGGGAGCGATCCCATTAATTCTCAATAAATGACACTTCTTTTCGCATACACCATTAGATTGGATGCTCAACATTGTACCAGTAACGTTACTTGGAAGCCTACAAGCAGTGTTTTATCTATAGAAAAAAAAGAACGAGAATCAATGAAGAAAAAGTACTTTGATATTTATTGATGTTCCGTGTTTGTGTTTGTCCTTCATAGAAACTTTTTGTTTCTGTCTCTTCAGAGCTCATTTGCATGCAGTTTTCTAGAATATTGAATGCTCTCTATGTTTTAGAAAAAAATTTAGTGGGACATAAGTATGTAAATTTAGCTTAACAATAAATACAAATGTAAACTTTATCGCTAACAAATGAAAATTAAAAAAAATAAACTTGTTTTTTATACTATCGATTGAAAACAACGTTCGCCTCGTTGATCAATATCACTGAAATACTGAATACCTGCAAAGAACTAAAAACTAATATATTATAATAAATCAAAAAGAAAGCACATGTAACTATTTTATTCTATATCTATATTAAAGTACCCTTTTTCATGAATTAGAATAAAGAAAAGAAAATGCTATGAAAATCGAACAATCCCATATCATAATCTGAATGTTATTGAAGTTAATGATAGGTGGATGACAATGAAAATAACTTTTGTTATCACATTGAGAATGACTTGAAAGACTGTTATTAATCTAAGGTCAAATAGAGTAATTAAGAAGCAAGTACTGCTTGAAGATGATAAAATGCAAAATTCGATCAAAGTCTGATGCACCTTGAAGAGAGTAATGAAAATAAATCCGTATTTTGCATTTGGGTTCAAAAGAATCGTGAATATCGTGCAAAAACTGATTAGCTTGGTAATTGATTCAAAAAACATTGAAACAAATGATTTAGCCCATTGTGTTCTTGATGAGATGTAGATATGTGGAGGTACTCCTAGTTTTTCTTTTCACTCATATTGGGCTATGTGAATCAATTTTCTTTTCTAAAAGTCGCTTTAAGTCGCTAAAATTCAAACAACATTCAAATTAATGAGTCATTTTATTCGGCATTTGTTAGTAAGGGCATTAGATGAGATCACTTTGTAGGTTAATATGCGATAAATTCAACAAACGAAAAGGGCTAAACTATTGTATAAATGTTTGCTTGTGAAAGTTCTTTGTAGAAACTGTTGTATATGTTGTTCTGTTTAGTTGTCGGGTTGAAGCGATTTGATGCCGTGGTCGTTGATAGCAAACAACCAATCTGGTTCAATGCCACGTACATTGTCAAATGGTTCTTCTAAATACAATTTTTCGCCATTAGCTAGAGTGACATCGATCCTTTGTATTTGTGAGTTATAGCTACATCCACTGTCGGTGACAACTCTAGGTGCTACTTTATGTGTTTCACCTTGGGATAAGCCAATGTCGTATTGATTGTCAGTGGTATTTTCCGATTCGTGTCCAAGTTTACGGTAGGTCACTTGAATTTTAACATCGCCTCTGGATTCGTTTCGAATCGAACAGCTTTTAATAAATTTTGGAGCTGAAACACAACAGCCTTTACAGGACATTGTCGTCTACTTTTTGAGTTGCTTGTTGATTAATATAATAATCGACGTACACAAGTCAGCGATCGATACGAATGTTTTAATATCGAATGATGCACGTTATGGTAAAAACGAAATACGTCGACCGTAACCGCTTGCGAAAGGGAAACGAAGAAAAAGACAAACACGATTTAACATACGATTACTTAAACGAGTTGCTGCTAAGAGAAGGAACGAAAAAAATACCTGTGGGACTCACACAAGGACAACACGACGAAATATAAAAATCGAGTGGTGAAAAAAGAATCATAGCAAAGGCATAATATGAAAACATATCTAATTTTTTATCTTTGGTGAGCCCAATCATCGTATGTGATTTGGATAATGCACCCGTTCGATCGTGCAAGAAAATAAGCATTTTTATTTTTTTGATTATTTTTAATATTTACGAATGCATATTACTTAAACCAAAAAATGGTTATGCGTATTCGATGCATGATAATGCATCCAAATGCTCCAGGTGATTATTTTCAGCTACACTCCAACATACTTTGGTTACGACATTTTAGATACAGTAAAGGCCCATTTAAAACCTTGAAGTATTCATGTGATGTGGGTATAGTATCCAAATGATACCAATCTGGGTAGGATTATTTCTATTACACTGCTCCTTAAAGCAAAGATACGATTTTTTTTCTCAACAAAAGAAAAGAATAATTTTCATTTAGA